ACTTCTTTAAACTATATTTATAAATACCTTTAATACGTTTAACTTTAATCCTATTAATACGTTATTTAGTAAGCTATAATATTACCGGGCTATATATCTTATCTTCTTATAAAAGTAATATATTATAGAGCTTTTATTTAGCCGGACCCCTATTAATAGCCGTTCGGTATTATAGTTTTTTAATTATAATAACCTCTATATCGTTAAATATAGTCAAACTATAATAATAATTATAATAGGTCTTAAAGGCGCTAACTTTTTTTATAGAGTTTTGCTATCCGGGCAGTACCATTTGGCTATCCGGGCAGTAACCCACTTTTCTAGCCAATCAGTGCCTGCCGCCTTAACTTTAAATTTCGAAGCCCCACAGTAACCACTCACAGGCCACCTAGCGCACCTACCCCCTACCCAGCGCCACACTTACGTAAGGCAGGCAGCCACACATAATAATTACCCACGGTCGCAATTACCCACGGTCGCGATTCCTTATTTCCGATCGTAATTGCCTATTTTCAATTACTTGACTGCTTATTACCGTATTAACTCGAGTTGTAGTCGGTAATTGCGATAATAGGTAATTGCGACCGTGGGCAATTGCTATGTGTGGCTGCCTTACGTAAGTGCAGCGTCTGGGTGTGAGTGTGGGGTATGGTCTAAGCTTCTAAACGGAAGGCTCTGATTGGCTGGAAAAGTGGGTTACTGCCCGGATAGCCAAATGGTACTGCCCGGATAGCAAAACTCTTTTTATATTATTAATTTAATACCGGATCGCTTCCTATTCTCGATATAATTATAATTACTTTAATAATTTAAATAAAATATATAAAAGTATTTTACTTTTTAAGTTATACTCTTTAGCTTATTAATAACGATTTAATATTGGATTATTTTTTCTTATAGTTTTATTAATAAACTAAAAAAATAATTATAGGCCTTTTCTTTATTATCTTTAAAAAACAACCCTAAATTATTATAGATTGCACTTTATTTAATAAAGAACTATAAGGGAGTTAGCTTTTTCTTTTTTTTTTCTTTTTTAAAATACTTTTTAATGTTATTTTTTTTATATTTTAAGGTCGATATATTTTCGGTAAATAAACAAGAAAAAAACCTCTTAATCTATTCTACTATTAAGACTTACTTTATAGTTTCTTTATTATATTTAAATTAATAAAGCTATTTTAAAAAGGGCCTATTTAATTTAATATCTATTTAAGGCCTTTAGGTAGAGGTTATTTACTTTTTTAACCGCCTTAATCTAATCGTTTATTTAGGCTATTACTATATTATCGTTTAATATTTAATAATTATAATTTAAAAGTTTTTTATATTCCCGTACTTTCTTTAGCCTTACTAACCTTTTAATAAGAAAATAAATAATTTCTTTTTAATATTTTAGTTATTTTAAATAAAGTAATTTAATAAGGTTATTAAAAATAGCTATTATTACGGGGCTAGGCTTTTTATTTATAGTATCCTATTAATTACTTCCCCTATATAATAATAATATATATACCCTTTTACTCTCTTTATTTCCCTTTTATTTTTCTTCCTATATCTAAATCGGCAAGTTCTTAATTATTATTAGCCGTTATCGTTATTTAATATTAGAATTTAGTCTTATTTTTTATTTTAACTTAAATATAATATAGGGTACGGTATACCCTTAGCGGGTAGAACTAAAGCCCTAATTGTCTTAATATTAATTAAAGATCGGCAAGCTTTATATTTATAATTAATAAAAAACACTTAACGTATATAATAAGCGAGTGAAATATAGAACCGCAACTACATTACTTTAATATAATCGGGCACTTTTTTTCTATAACTCACTATAACGCACTAAAATAAAGAATCTAATACTTAACTTACCCTCTAGGCTATTTAAAATTACCTAAAACTAAGCACTCGGGCTATAGCTAAAATCTATTTAATTAGTTATATTATATTAACCCGGTAATTAAAAGGAATACCGTTACGATATAATATTATACCGAACTTGTATAATTTAACAATTCTTAAAAAAAAAAAAGCTATTTAAATATATCCTTAACCTAAATTCCTAATTATTTCCTCCCTAGCTTTATAATATTAAAAAAATAATAAATCGATTACTTATTAACCATAACGTACTCTTTATTAAAAAGTAATAAACTTTAAACTTTATTAAATAATAATTATAATTATAAATATATTATTTTTATAAATATAATTATAAAAGGGCCTAATATAAAGATTTAATTATAATAAATATATAGTTCTTACTTAAAATAAATATAATTATAAAATATAATATTGTAAACTTAAATATTTATAATTTTAATAAGACTAACTTTATAATAAGCTAGATCTTAACCGGTATAATTATAATTAATACTAAAAGGCGTTTAAATATAAAATTAATATAGTTTAATAATCGTAAATAGGTTATAGTTATTTAGGCTATTAGTTCGTTAGATTATAGTATCCTACCGTATATTATCGTTATGGGCTAATATTACCTCTCTATTTAATATATAAAATCTAATCTCCTATACGATTAAGTTATTATAATGTTTAAAAATAAATAAATAATAAATAAAAAAGGCCTAAATTAAGCTTAATATTTTAAATAATATATAAAACCGTATAAAAAAGGTTAATATCGCCTCTTTATTATTAATAAATATAAAAATTATTACTTTATAAATTTTAAGCTTTTTTATAAAAAAAATAATATTATTACCCTATATATACTAGTTTATTTATCTTATCTACTCTAACCTTTAAATATTAAATATTTTAGGCCTTTTAAAACGATATATAGTTAAGAAATTAAGGATAAAATACGTCGAGGTAATATATATATTATTAAAAATGACTTCTTCCCGGTATTTTATAAAGTTTTTATATAAATAATTATAGAAAAAAATATTTAAAAAGGATTTAAAAAGGTAAGGCTTATATTTTTAAATATAGAAAATATACTTTTAAAGTTTAATATAAAATTATATATTTTAATGCCTCTAAAATCCCTCCCGATAATACCCCCGGTATAGACTTTTTAAATATTAAATAACCTAATCGAAGTATCTTTATAATTATAACTTATTAAAAATAAAATCGCTTATTATTAAAATAGCTCTTTAACTTTAATTATTAAAGTTATAAAATATTTATTTAAAGGGACTTATAAATTTATATACTAGATTATCTTATTAAGATTTGAGAACTAGATCCTTTAAAAAAAATAACCTATTTAATTAATACTAAAAAGCTAAAAAAACATATCTTAAATAAAAAAAAAGCTTAATTATAATTAAAAAAAAGGACCTTTAAATATAGAGAAAGGTTATAGCCTAAGTTAAAAAGAAAACGTACCGGAATAATAATCGCTAATTAAAGATTAAAATAAGTTAATAGTATTATAGTATCTATAAGAATATTAAACATAATATATAAACGTATTAATTTAATAAAGAAATATTTAAAAATAAGGATCCTAAATAGTTTTATTAAATCAATAAAGTAAACATTAAGGTTTATTATTTATATAATATAATCGCGGTTCTATATTTTACTCGCTTATCTATTTTACTGGTTTATTATATACGTTATAGCTTATCTATATTAATATTTATTACTTTAAAAAATATTAATATATTATTAATATACTCTCCTTTATTTTAATCGCTTATATTATATTAATCCTGTATTTTTATTCTATATTAGTTATACTAATTTATAAAAACTTAAACATTATAAAAAATATAATTAAGTATTATAATTAAGAAAAATATTAAAAGTAGGTCTAATATATTATATAAACTTAAATTTAATATTCTTATAAAGCTATCGTAAAAATTAGTTTTTTTTTTAAGCTAGGCTTTACTAAAGATTTACTAAGCCTTAGCCGTAGCCTCGTGGCTGGGCCACGTCGAGCCTTAGCTATAGCCTTATGGCTGAGCTAGGCCTGGTTAGGTGCCCGTGCACTAGGCAACCTTATAGCGCTCTTTTTAACTAACTTAATGCCGAAATAATTATAGTTAATAAAAATAAATTTTAATATTAATATAGAGCTTTTTAATAATATAAAATCTATTTGAATAAAATTATTAATATTATAAATAGCTAGGTCGGTATAAATTAAAAAAATTCAATAAATTAATACCGGGTTTAAAATTATATTTAAAAGAGTTTTTAATATAAAAAAGTACTTTATTATAAATTAAAGGGTATTATTAAGAGGTTTATTAATCTATATAGAGAAAAAAACTATTATATTAAATTTGACTATTTATATAGCCTAGTATTAAAAGGTCTGATATATATTAAAACAGGTAAAGTTAGCTATTTAAGTATAGGGTTATATAATAGAAGGTTAGACGGAAGCTATTAATAGTTCAGAATATAGTATAATATATCTAGTCTTCTCGTTATATAATATATCGTATATATTAGTGCCCCGGCGGATGCCTCTACTGAGGGGAAATTATATATTATATTATATAATTTCCCTTAAAAGTTAATCCCCTTAAGGTTAATTTTTTATGCCTATAAAGCTTAAAAAACTATTATAAAATATATTATATATATTAATACCTTAATAAATGCTGTTAATAAAGAGATACTTCGTTTTATAAAAGCCTAATTTCATTAAAATTAAACTTCAATATTTATAATTCTTTTTAAAAAACCACTATTATATAATTAAAATAATTTAGGCTATATTATTTTCTTTATAGTCTACTCTATAGCTAATTGAGCCGGGTCTATATAAAAAATTAATAACCCCCTCTTTCTAGGTAAGTAGTTGTACTAGACAATGACCTAGACTAAGCCTGTACTGGGAACGTAGCCACCCTTGCTTTTATATGGAGCATGGAGTACGTACCCGTGTATGCGCGAAGCTCGACCTCACTTTAAACGACTTGTCCTTTGTCTCGGACACAACAGCTCATCGGTTGTCTAACAGATAAGTCGGAGACCCTCTACATCGCGTTATCTCATCATATCTCCCAATGAGTGTTTTCGCGCCGCAAGCAGCTCATCGAGGGCGTCGTCAGTCAAAGAAGTCTACCGGCGTTGCCAGAGACGATTCAGACGATGAGCTCGGCATAGATGATCTTCCGTGGGAATGGATCCTTAAGTCCAATGACGCGGATGCCTCACAGGACCATGGCGACGATGCGCAAATCTCTCGAAAGCGAAGGAGAGCCAACCCTGAGACGCAGATTGTGGGGGCCCGAATGGGTCAATTTGAGTGCCACGTTGGCGACTGTGTTCTTCTGAAGGCGGAAGGGTCCAACGAAGCCTGGGTTGCCATAGTCTGCGAGTTCTTAGAGGAGGAAGATGGTGAAAAGGCAGCCAACTTCATGTGGTTCTCGACAGAGAAAGAAATCCGCAACAAGGAGAGGAAACGCTCGGATTTTCTGCCTGTACGTCGTCCGGACCAGGCTGACTGTGCGAACGCTTACCATCGAGTTACCTAGAATGAACTATACATCTCACCTTCGTGGGATGTAAATCCGTTGGCCGCTGTCAACGGCACAGCCGTTGTGATATCTCACCAAGCCTTCCGTCAAAGGTATCCGTCGGGTAAAATACCTCGATCCTCACCCGATTTTGGTAAGACCTTCATCTGCCGTCGCGCATGCAACACAAGAACAGCAACCTACACAGATGAGTTTGTTTGGGAAGAAGTATATCATGCAAGTGAGCAGAGCGTTTCTGAACTGATCGGGTTCGTCAAATCACAAACAAAGTCGTCGCGACATGGCCTGGCAGCGAGGCAATCAACGCCGGAGCAGTCTTACAAGATGACATCAGATCGTTTGGGGGGGCCGTCTACACCAAAACGAACCCCGAGGGCCGAACATCCAACGCCCAAAGGAGAAACCCGAATAACGACGACACCCGGGTCTCGCAAACGGTATGTGCCTGCGTCATATCTAAATCACTCGGCGCCTCGCCTAACCAGCTGTATTCATGCAGGGTAATGGTGAAGAAAACGCTAGAATTCACGCCTTTAGGTACGAGGAAACTGTCACTAGAGCGTTTGCAGTCTTCGCCCTTCCAGCTGGCTCGTTCCCAACTTCACGTTGCCTCAGTACCGAGAAGCTTGCCTTGCCGAGAAAGCGAATTCAACCTGGTGTATTCACACCTAGAGGCAGCCATTGCGGATGGTTCAGGAAGCTGTATCTACATCGCCGGCACTCCGGGGACGGGGAAGACAGCCACTGTTCGAGAAGTCATATCTCGCCTAGAGGATAGCGTGAAGGCTGATGAACTTGACGATTTCATCTTCGTGGAGATCAATGGCATGAAGATTACCGACCCCCACCAGTCCTACACCCTCCTATGGGAGGCACTCAAGGGCGAGAGAGTTAGTCCTACACAAGCCATCGACCTCTTAGAGAGAGAGTTCAACAATCCAAGTCCTCGCCGGACTCCGTGCGTTGTCCTGATGGATGAGCTTGACCAGCTGGTGACGAAGAACCAGAGCGTCATGTACAACTTTTTCAACTGGCCCGGACTTCGACATAGCAGGCTCATTGTCCTAGCCGTCGCCAATACCATGGACCTTCCGGAAAGAACTCTGAGTAACAAAATCAGCAGTCGCATAGGTGAGCGTTGGACTTGCATACTGCGGAAGTTCTGCAAGCTGATGTGAAAATTTAGGCTTGACAAGAATTACCTTCCCAGGTTATAACCATGAGCAGCTCATGAAGATCATTCAGTCTAGGCTAGAGTGTGTACCCGGAAGCATCGTCGAGGCAGACGCTATACAATTTGCCAGCCGGAAAGTGGCTGCAGTAAGCGGCGATGCAAGAAGAGCCCTGGACATCTGCAGACGAGCTGTAGAGCTCGCTGAAGGTGACAGCCGTGTCGAGACACATGCAGGTGACCCCGAGGCACGACGATCAACCCCGAGCAAAGGCAAAACAGCAGATGCACCAGTCAAAGTGACCATCGCCACGATTAAACGTGCCATCAACGAGGCCACGACCAATCCTGTGCAACAGTACCTTCGATCTCTGCCTTTTGGACCCAAGCTACTCCTAAGCTCATTATTAGTCAGAATACAAAGAAACGGCACTGGCGAGACGACTTTTGGCGACGTAGTGGACGAACTACGCCGTATCATTAAGCTGGACACGGCAACTCTTGAATCAAGTGTTCTCTCGGCTTTGTCGACGGGGCCATCAGGAGGTGATGTCGGTCAAGGTAATGATAGTATCCGGATAGTCCAGTCTCTGGCGCTTCCTCAGGCGGCGCTTGAACTTGTGGGTGCTGGCATCATTGTACTAGAAGCGCACAAGCCGGAACGACCAAGCAAGGTGCGTCTTGCTGTGGGTGACGAGGAGGTCAAGATGGCGTTTCGAGACGATGGAGAAGTAAAGGCCTTGGGCTTGTTTTGAATTAGACCACTGTCTGTACTGTAGGTCCCATAAGGAGGCAGGCTTGGGGGTCGGGTATCTATTCGTGACAAGTCAGGCAGGGTATTCCGAGCCAATCCTATCCTATACTGGTCCTATGCTAGTTCTAATATTTGCGCCTGGCCAGTGTTGGCTGCCAAACAATGGGATGTGACTCAGGTGTCGCCTTCTCATCCTGCTTCCATATCTTGATCGTCTTGTCGGCCTCTCCGCAAATCAAACGCAGCCCGGAGCGATCAAATGTAGAGCTCATAATGCCCGCCTCGGCATCCAACGACCCCGGCTGTGCCGTAGTATCCAGAGCCTGGAAGCGGTGGCCTGTCTTCCAGTCCCAGAAACTCATGGAGCCGTTGTCGCCACCCGAAAACAGAACGTTTTCCTGGTTGACGCTGAGCGTATTGATGATGGCATTGTGGCCGTCAAAGTTTTGCATGAAGGCTCCTTCAGGACATTTCCACTGCTTGATGCTTCCCGTGCTACCACTGGCAAATGTAAACTCTGCGGGATGCGTGGCCAAGGCTCTGACGCCCTTTTTGTGATGTGTTAAGACGCCCATTGTCTTCCCGGCAGCTAAATCCCATAGTCTTACTGTCGCATCTAACGAGCCAGTCATGACCTGAGGATCAGCCTCTTGACACTTGACGTCCGATACAGTCCCGGTGTGGCCGGATAACACGTGAATATTGCTTCGGGTTCGCATATCCCAGACTCTTGCGACACCGTCTCGACCGCCAGTGACCAGTACATCCAAGGTTGGATGTAGAGCGAGTGTGTAGACGCCGCTTAGATGTCCGTGGTAGTGGCGGATAACCTTGTTTGTCTCGAGATCCCAGCATTTGACCATCTTGTCTTCGCCGCATGAGAACAAATAAGGGTGGCGCGGGCTCACGGCAAGGCCACGTACGGTTGATATATGCCCGGTCAGAGTCAGGCGTAAGGAGCCGGTGGCCAAATCCCAAATCTTTATAGTCCTGTCGCCAGCACCACTTGCAAACCACTTGTTTCCTGGCTCGACCGCCAAGCTCCGAACCCATCCCAAGTGGCCAGAAATGACCCTCATGAGCTTCCATGGTGGATGCCACTCAGGTCTGGCGCCATGAGGAGTTGACGCGGTGGCCCGTGTCAGACCCGTGGGCTGGGAAAGCTGGGAATTGTTGTTGTTGTTGTTGTTGTTGTTGTTGTCGTCTTTAGCACCAGGAGCGCCAGGGCCGGGTCCATTGGGGCCCTCGAGAAGCTTTTGCGCAGATTTCTGCCTGACAAGAGCCTGGTCTGGCTTGGAGTGCGCCTTGATCCGCCGTGCCTTGGTGGGAGCGGGCTGCTTAGCAGCAAGAGCTGGTGGAAGCTGTTGAACACCGAGGTATTCGAGTCTGAAGCGGCGATCGGCACTCGTCTCGTCGTCGCTGGGCTTCTCGGCCGATGAGTCGCTAGGCTCAGTCCTTTGTCGCTTCCTGGCGGGGAGCCCTGGAGCCTGGGAGTAAAGGGTTCGGGTTGTCTTTTGATTGACGTCTAGGAGGGACCCTAAAGGGGTGGTGTCGGACGAGGGCGCCGTCAATTCAGCCATAGCGGCTCCCATGGCAGTGGCAGCCTGACTGGGTCGATGGAGCAGAATTATCGTAGGAGTGTGTTCTCTTCGAAGTTGAGTTGGTTGGATGGCCTTGTCCCTGCTCCGAGTGCTGAAGAGTTATTGTGGTGCGTCGCGGTGCGGCGGGTTCTGACATGAGATATATTGGAAAAAGACTGACGCGCCAGAGTCTTGAATTGGATGCCTACCTGCAGCGTTGGTCTGGGTGGGTACGTACCTGCATCACCGCGTGCCACCGTGCGTTCCTAGGTACCTTCCATCATTCCATGGCTGTTCAGTGACGTGGTCGGTGTAGTATCCGTACCTTGAAGTGACTCGGCACCTTGAGCTATACGCTTTAGTAGCACTACATTCATCGAGAGTTTCATAGGTAGCTATGTTCCTGGACGAAGTCTTGCCCGTAGTCTGCAGATGAACGTCAGGCATCTGGGGACCTTGAGCTTGAGGTAAGTGGTAAGTAAGATAAGGTACCTTGGTCATCTCTGCATCTACCAACTACAAGGCTGTACTACAAAAGAGGGAAGATCTCACCTACCTAATATATTCCTTCCCTCGCTGGGTGAGCGCCTCCAAACATCTTTTCACGTCACTTCCATAGCTGAATGATTTTGCTGCGTACCTTACCCTCCTAACCTATGTGAGGTGAAGATGATGACCACATTGCCCACTGCGTACTGCCTACCTAAACTATACACTTCTTGGTTCCGAGCTTTGGAGCTCACTATGAAGACAAGGTGCCAGTGACCATTAGGTACCTACCTCACTTGAGGGGCCACTCAGCTCACGTCTCCTCCCTCAATAACGTGCCCTCTTCACCTTTCACCAATTCATTTCGGGCAAGCGAGGCGCGAAACTTCGAGAGAGAATCCTCTCTGCAGTCGGCTCACTCATATAATACATATCCGTCGGGGCTACTATCGACTTCACTTTTGTCCCAACTTCGGTCTAACTCTGCCTACAACTTCAAGCCCATCTCTCACCGAGCTTGGCTTTCCCCGATCTAACCGTCAACGCCATCGGCTTCACTTCACCCAACGATATTTCTCTTCGTACCACGGCACGCCACAGATCATTTGTCATCATCGGAAGAAATTCGGAACTCACAACAAGAAGGCGATAATAACCAGGATGGCAGAGACTCAGGACAAGTTTCCCCTTCACACTGCAGCCCGCGAGGGCAAAGGTACTTATTTGGCGAGGAAAGCTGCGGCCGTCGCTTTGCTTCTCAAACCCGCTAGGTCGTAGGAATGTGGCTAACCGGTCTTGCAGTCTCCGTCGCAGAAACTATTCTCAAGGTGGCTCGCATTTTGAGGCTACATCAGATTTACACATTTACTAACATCGTGTTGTAGACGGAACCTAAGCTCGCTGTACGAGAAGACGATGATGGCAGGCTTCCCATACACTGGGCCGCGTCCTCCAACTGCATCGACATTATCATTCTACTTGCGCAGATTCGTAGCTTTGACCCTGATGTCCAAGTAAGTGAGGTTCCCGGGAGGCTGTGCTCTCACAATGTTTCATGACCATATTCACCCGAATCTAGTTCACGTACTAAGATCAACCCTCGACACTTAGGATGGCAGCGGCTGGACGCCGCTAATGATCTCTGCAAGCCTCAAAGATGGCGAGGATCTTGTCAATTTACTTCTCCAAAAGGGCGCCGATGTCAACCTGAAGAGTAAGATACTCTCACCATACTTATTACGCCCCCCTGAATCCTGGACCTTCTAACAATCACTTACATGTTCCAGACCATAACGGACAGGTGAGTAGGAGGAGGTTCACAATACTATCTTCTCTCTGATTCGGGGTCTGATTCGGTTTGACTTCAGGGTGTTCTGCACTTTGTGGCATCCAAAAACAACTTAGACGTCGCAAAGAAGCTTCTCAACCACGACCCGCCCGCGTCTACCAAGATCCGCGACAAACGCAGTCAGTATGCCATACACAGGGCTGCCGCCATAGGCTCAGTTCCGATGGTGACACTTCTGATCAAACATGGGAGTCCTCTCAATGCCACCGACGCCTCTGGCTACACTGCCCTGCATCACGCTGTTGCTGAGGGCCACGGTGCGCCCAACTACAGGCCTCGGCTACATGATATGGAAGCAACTGACACTTCGTATCAGGCGACACAGCAGTGGCTTTGCTAAAAGCTGGTGCCGTGATCAACAGAAAGGACAATGATGGGTGTCTACCTTTAGATTTGGCTCCGGACAAGGAGGTACGTGATGCTATCAGCCCGACAACCTCGTGCTTCACAAATCATCTTGGCTAATGGTTTGAGCGCCTTTGTAGGTTCGCCGCTTCATTGAACGCGCTGCCGAGGAGGAGGGCATAGAGCTATGAATAAGCTGAGCTAGCCACAGGTATAGCACGTGGTATTTCGCCTCCCTGGCTCCGGCGGTGGTAAGAATACACTTTCATGTTGACTCGCACCAAATTACAACCGCGTGAAGAATGCGTTGCTCTATGTGCTCAGCACTCATTATTCCTTTATCTGATTGTGCGCTCTACCAAGTCGCGATACATGGCCTTGACATCCTGCACGTCAGCCCGCAACTCTTCTACTAGCTCGCTCTTCTCCCCGAGTAATTCTAGTGTTGTCTGGTATCTTGAGTTCAAATCCTCAACCTGTCCTTCCAACTCGGTCACCCGTTTTGAAGCCGTCTTGCTCGACTCCAGCTCTTTCATTAACGAGACAATCTCGGCTCTGGCCTCGTCTCTTTGTCCCGATATGCGCGCCAATTCTTCCCGGGACGTGACCTTCTCCGCTTCCAATCGCCGGATGGCCGCACTCATTCTTTCTACCAGCTGTACCGAAGGTCCTGCGCCAACCGTCGACACGGAAACCATATCCTGCATCATTTGGCGAGGCGACGATGACGTTTCCACGCCGTCAAACAAATCGTCTTTGTCGCCTGCGTACGATGTGGGCGTAGGCAGCGAGTCTGGAGGCAACTCAAACGAAGTGATGGAAGGTGCCACCGGCAGATTCGAGCCGCTGGTTAGCATGGGCGGTCTAGCTGGTGGCTGGCTTGATAGTCTTCGCCCTAGCTGTGAACCCTCCTGGAAACCGTCCGTTCCACTAGTCGGGGTCGATATCTTGCGACCCTTGCCAGATACACTGTGTAGTAGAAGTAGATCGTTGCTCATCGTACGCGTGGGTACGGAGAGTAAGGGCGAGTCTGGACGACTCTGAATCCTAGATCCAGGGCCGGACAAGTGGTCTTCTAGCCAAGGCCGACGGTCGAGTTCAATCGTTTCAGTCTTCCATGCTGCCTGCTGCTTTTCAAGGTCAAGTCGGGCCTGTGACAGCGCTGCCTCGGCGTTCTCTGCTCTTTTTTGAAGCGTCTCATTACGAGCTTGAAAACTGTCGATATCCCTTTGATAGCTGGGAAACCTGTTCGTGAGCTCTTGGAGCTCTTCGTCCTGGCGTTTGCATCGGGTTGCCTGTAACCGCTTAGAATAATGACACACAATGACGGAAGCTCCAGCATATGATCTGGAGGAATAGCAATGTGCCTTACAGTCTCTCTAGCCTTTTTCCTCATGTCCGACTCACGTCGCAGAGCATCATCTCTCTCGCGCTCAAGGTTGGCCACTCGTGCGATCAGACTGGCCTCGATACCCTGCCAGTTTTCCGCAGCAATGGCATGCTGCGTCTGCAGTGTTTCCACTTGACGCAAAAGTTTGACTTGGGAGTCACCCACGGCGCCAGAGGATGCCTCTTCCGCTAGCGCACGCATGGCCTCCAGCTTCCCCTCCATTGCTTGAAGCTCTACCTTCATCTCGAGTTCCTTGGCGCGGGCGCGCTCGGCGGCGCGCGCTACTTTTTCTTCCGCCTCTGCTGCACTCTCCTTTGCCCGACCAGCGATCAGGTTCCGCTCCAGCTGCAATGCGGCGACAGTATCTTCAAGGTCTTTGACGCGGCGTTTCTCAGCGGCCAGTGCCTCCTCGTTCACCTTACCTACAGTGGAACTGGCCTGGTCGGAAGCTCTCCGGAGATCATCCCGTAGCCTTTGCATTGTAGATTTGTTGGTTGACACCTCATCACGCAATGCGCTCAATTCGTCTTGCATTCCGTTGGATTTGATCTGTAGTTCTTGATTTGACTGTTCCAGTTCCTCAACGCGGCTGGCTCGGGGGCGTAGAGTTTCTATATCAGCAGTCAGCTTCTCTTGACGAGCACGTAGCTCTCCCAAGGTCTTCTCGTCGCTTGCAATCTGTGTCCTGAGTTTCCTGATGATGGCCCGATGTTTCTGCTCCGTGGCGGCCAAATTGCGGCCTTCGTCCATAAGGGCCGTAATCTTGACGTCTCTTTCAGCAAGTACTCGCTCATGACTTCCCGTAGGTGCCGCCGCTGCAGACATGCGTGCGGCATCTGTAGCATCCCGCGCCAGGAATTGCAGTTTTGCTTGCATGGACTCAAACTGTTCGACATAGCGATGCATCTCCTCCTGTTGCTCCTTTGTCGACTGTTCCGCCCTAGCTTCCAGGGCCTCGACCTGTGCATGAAGTGCCGTACACTGATTACATTCGATCCGGTTGCCACTTGACGTGGTGGCTGTTTCGAGTTCCAGTCGTTGATCTGGGGTGGCAGAGTTACCCTCTTGTTGAGCCTCCGAGGCTCGGCTACTCTCCATTGAATTCGGAACTCGGTGGCTACTAGAGGGATCTTCTTTGGACGTTTCAATGATCTCATCCTCGTCCTGGATAGTATTGTTGGGTATGGCGGCCTCAGTCGTGACTACTACCGGCGCTGGAGTGTTCGCCGGACTAGGAGCATCGGTACCCCTTTTTGGAAGCGTACCAGCTCCTGGACGACCGCCATCGGCACTTGGTCGAGTACTCTGGGAGTCTGATGTTACGCTGCGAGCGTCGGACGGCTGGGTGTTCTTGGCCGCAATGGCCTTGGCAAGGCGCTCTTGTAGGCGATCGTTGGTACGGCTGCTGGTTGAGGATCGAGGCTGGCCTGTGATAGATAGAGTCAGTACCACTATTGTAGGATCGCGCCATGCTAGTCCGAGTCACATGAGGGGGATGGGTATGTACTTATTTGCTGGTCCTTGGAAGGGACAGTGGTAGAAGCCGCGGTAGACTGGGAAGCTTGCGGCGGGATAGCTCCATTCTCTCCCTCAGCAAGCATGTTATCGAGACGGGCCTCGACGCCGGCTACAGCCTGCTGGAGGAAAGAACCCCAACGTGTCGACTTTGCGGGAGCTGCCATGATGACGGTCGGCTGTTATATCGGTCTTGGACAGAGGCGGAGACGGCTGTGCTATGCCTCGTAGCTGTTGTGTATTTCAGAGGTCATGAACATCTCGAGTATGCCTCCAAAGACCGTAATACAATGGGATTAAATCGTGCTATCGTGCTACCTCGCGAAAGGGGGAGTTGACTGCCTTTCCCGTGCTCAGCAGGAAGTGTGGTGGTTGCGCGTTCGGTGACGACTAACGGGGAGAAGCTTTGGGATTCGTGGTGCTGAAGCAAGTGGGCCGGTTGCGATGAAGAAGAGCAGTGCAGTGCGCGGTGGGTAATGCTTGGGTTGGGCGTCGGTCGGCTGAGAAGTGGAAGAATGGATATGTTGGGTTTCTGTGCCAGGTGTCTAGACAAAGGATGCTCGTATGTAGTGGAAGGACAACCAACGTGGCATGTAAGGGAGCTGGAGTAATACCTGTCGTTTATTTAGGTTGGGCAAGGTGCAGTTGCGGTTCCGTGTCGGGTTGCGGCAAGGCAGGGAAGCAAGGTACATCGTATAGAGTACGCGGCACTAATACTTGGGTAGAAGGAGAAAATCACAGCTCTTACAGATACTCTGTACAGCGCGAAGATCTGGCTGGAGGATGGGTGACCGTTCCACGCAGGGTACCTCACGTACCTACCTACCTCGGTGGGCGTGCAGCTCAGATATTCCAGTGTAATTTGTCTATGACTCGAGTGAGGTAGGTACCTTAGATAGCTTAAGCCTCCAAGGTGACCAGAATGGGCACTTCTCTAGCCTAACATCGTGATACTCATGCATAACGTGCAATGATCTTCCCGGCCACTCGGTATTCAACTCCATGGTGCGGACACTTCAAGGCGACATCATGGGCACATAATTAGTGCCTCTTTCGCAAGGGGCCCCTGCTCAGATGGCAAATGGCGCTTTAGAGACCAAGGTAATACTCCATAGGTACAAAGAGCTTCATGTTAGGTACCTACTTCTTGCGGCTTGCAAGGTAAAAGGCGCTTGCTTAATGGAGGGTTACCTTTTAAGGAAAATTGCCGCAAATAGTGAATTGACGCGAACTTGAGACTCTTTGAATCATCTGGATCGCAATGCTTTGCTCAAATATGGCTGGTGCGTTCTAGATGCTAGCAAAACAATTCTCAAGTACTAAATTCTACTCCGTACATCCTGAGGTACCTTCTCCCAGTGAACATGAAAGTAAGCAGAAACATGACCTTAGAGGAGCTTTCAAACCAGTCAATTAGTTATTACCCACCCAAATACGTGCATAAGTGCATCCACCGCACGCCGGTATGAGCGAACTGCAAAAGGTACGTCATCCTCCACTGGGGCCTCGGAACGTCCACCGGAGCTGAACCGAGTCGTGTCTGCAACGTGGAACCAACGAGGTGCTACGCATTGTCGTTGCCATCTTCTTCGTCGGTTTCTGTAAACTTGTTCTTAAGCACAAGGTGTTAGTCCGTAGTCACTTACGTGGATCGCAGTGTCTTCTTTCCTCTTCCGCAAACTTGTATACCAGGCCAGGCCAGTTGTGCTTTCATACCGAATACAGCCAAACTTCGGACAACCGGCAGGGCCACAGATTAGTCCAAGACAACCCTCCTCAACTTGCAACCTGCAATACCTCCAATTTCTTAGAATACCAACCAATGTGTTCTATTGCTCGCCATATAGTGCAATTGGAAGTTAACCGGCCGAATCTGACCCAGCCTGCCGCAAGATACTGATTCAACTTTCCTCCGAGCGACCCGGCACTTCTTACGAGTCTAGTACGACTCCCCCTCCTCCTACCCCCTCCTCTTTTTCTCTTTCTCTTATTCTCTCTCTCCCTCTCTCTCTCATTGTCTATCGGGCGTGCGCCTTGCTATTCTATTCCCCTACCTTTGCGTCTCCGGCGCCGCTCGGAACACGTAGACGGAAAGTTTAAACGACCTTTTGGGACATTCGGAGTCTTCCAGCGGCATTCTCTGCAACCGTGGTAAAACACCATTGCCCCCCTTGTCTATCTCTCTCTCTCTCTCTTACCCTACGTCGAGCCAGAGCCCGTTGAAGCTGAGGAAACAGCGATTTCTGTTGCGCTGCTTCTTGGCTTGCTGGCCCGGTTTTGCCTGGTCAAGACTGTCCGCCACCAATGGCTTCATCTCCATTGTTTCAGGCCCTGCGCGTGGCGTACAATGATGATCTCCCAGACGGCTACTGGGGAGAAAAGACTTCAACTCTGAATTTTTGCGAAGAGGTGAGAAACACATCTCCCACTGATATGAGAACTTCTCAACATCCTTGCTACTGCTGACCTCTGCTTGCCTTTGTTGACGTAGGACTATGTAGTCTCTTATTACTGTGCTGAAGTTTGCAATGTTAGTGATCACCGACTTCTCCTGCTCCAGTCAGCTCGCACCCATACTAATTCGGTCGCCTGAAAGACATTGACGAATCTCCTATTCCTATGGCTTGGCTTTAAGGGCGTCTATAATTGTGTATCTCAGGGTCATCCACGGATATTCCTCATAGCATATCTCGGATACGTTATAGTTGGACTAGGCTCCACGGCCTTCCATACATCCTTGAAATGTTCGTCCTCGCTTCTCGCCCCGAGCTCAGTATATTTTCTGCTACCTACACTTGGAGTACTGGACTGACAAAGCCACCTGCCTAGACCCCATGCAGCTCATCGACGAGCTGTCTATGATATACACCACATGTCTCATGGTCTTTGCAACGTTTTCATTCTCGAAGTCTAGCAGATTTTCAGTTCTTTTAGGGAGTGGTCTCGTTATGTTAGCTGGCTTTATTACGGTGCGTGGTTTCTAACCGAGTAAACATGCAAAGCATGGTAATTGTGAAAGCCCAGAGTTCTTACCATAACACAATAGTCATACTACCACATCACTAAAGATCCGGCTTTTCACCAAGCCTGCTATGCGGCGTTAACGGCAACGGTAATATGCTGAACTCACTCGGCGCTCAATTACCTCAACAGAAAGCTGACTGACGCTGCGCAGGTTGTTTTACGCAGCTTGTATGTCATGGAGACGCAACTACGGCCAGTCCTGTCACGAAGAAACAAGGACAAGGCCAATCTCATTCTCAATACCATGTGGATCATGGTTGGAACAGGTCTCTTGGAACACCACCAAGCTAAATGTGTTTGTTCTGCTTTGCTGACAGGAATCCTTAGGACTCGGTGTCTTCCTCATGGGGTTTCTCATTTGGAATATTGACAATGCTTTCTGTAGCAAGATAAGGCAATGGCGACGACAGCTTGGCCTGCCCTGGGGCGCCTTGCTTGAGGGTCATGCTTGGTGGCACTTAATGACAGGTGTTGGTACGTATTTTCCGGAGCGGTACTGCCTTTCTATCAAGGTCGTTGCTAACGTGATGCATAGGAGGTATGGGACAGAGAAAAGGCGGTGCTCTCATCTTTGACGTGCGCTAACAAGTTACAGCCTACTACTACATCACCTGGGGAATATGGCTACGTAGATGTCTCGAGGGCCGCGAAGACGAATACAGACTCGTCTGGCCAAGGTCGCTTTCGTCGATACCGTTGGTGGTCAAAGCGAAGAAGGCGGATTGAGGAATAAGGACCTCAATGATGGACAGGCAATCAGTAGCCGTTCAGGGTGATATTGCATAGGTACACCAGTCGAGGGCTTGGGGGCAGCAGCTCTGTATTCCAAAGGCAAAAGAGACACAACCATTTTTAAAGGCCTTCTATAGAACCACGAGCAGATAGAACTACCCAGCAGCAAGCACTGCTAGGCGCAGGTGACAGGGTATTGTATGTCCGCAACCTACGTATACTACAGATACCCCATCAATTGTAATTCAACGGAGCCAAGCACAATGTCCAGATTGGACAGGAACTTCTGCAAAGGTACAAGAAGGGATTCACTATCGAGTATCTGGAGGTGAAGCAGCGATATATGCATAATTCGTTAAGACATCCTTACTTTCCACATATTCCTATAGACGTTTGTGGATAGGTAGGTATCTCAGGTATGGAGCACATATATATGCGACAAAACGGCATAACCAAACCATTGCCACACCACAGCCACTACATACTTACCTTCAGGCGGCCCCTCTAGCTTTGATGAGCCCGCCCCCACCTTGCTGTGAGCTTCTGTCAAACGAAAGCCCCCTTCTCCCAGTTGCGATCTCACACCTCAGCCTGCCCACAATATCATTGTCAACGACACTGAAGTTATTGCGAATCTCAGCTCCCTCCGCGGCAGCTTCACCATTTGAGCTAGCAAGAGTGACTTGGTAGAGGCACCGATCCAACGCGGCTTCCCAGAAACCGTCTCATCACCACATCGAGTCAACATGTCTATTCCGAACCAAGCGCTTGAAAAGGTGAGAGAACAACAGCAGTGGCACCCTGTTCTTTTGGCCCCTTTTTGTACTTCAGCTGTGACCTACTCACATATGTTCTCTCCTAGCTGATTCGAGAAATCGAAAGCCAAGCCATTGTGGCCCAACAGCAGATTGGCCAGGCGCGCACACAAATGACGGCAAAGCAACGTGAAATGCGTATGGTCCGTCTGACGCTGGATGAGGTTTCCACCTTGCCCTCAAACTTGAACGTCTACGAAGGTGTCGGCAAGATGTACGTAAACCCCCTGCTGACCCATGTCCTCATTGTGCGTGCTGCAGCCGACAGTAATAGGACCAGAATCCATGGATGACATTGCTGACGCCGAGCCTCTGGGGCGGGAAAGGTTCGTCGCGTTGCCCACTCCGCAGCTTACGCAGAAACTGGAGGGCCAAATCAAGGATAGGGAAGGCGAGGTTGAAAAGCTGAGCCAGAAGCTGCACTACTTGGAGACAACATACAAGAATAGCCGGCAGCACATTGACCAAATGCTCAAGGCACAGTCATGATGGCAAATGCTGTAAGAGGAAAGAGAGGAGGGGAGCTAAATCATGGGGCCAGGAGCTTCTTCCACCATGGATAACGGGAGGAGGATATGGAGGTGGAATATGTCTCCTTATGCAATCAGCGTCGAGCATCGAGATGGAACGCCAAGGGCGCCCGACTCGACAAGCGCTTCTTCGGCTACGAGCAAGGGTAGCACAGCATCTGAAAATGTCTTTCTCCAAGGGACCGCTGGCAATACGGCGCGAACAGATAAAGTGCTTGTACGTGTTAGTGGTCACTTGATGCCAGCCTCGTCTGGGAACTTTCTCGGGCATTGACTTGACCCTGGTTGGAACTGGCTTAAGACCTAGGGGCGCAATTGATGGTGGTGTAATGGACGAACCAGAGCATTGTTTGCGGTTCAAACTTGAAATAATGCATGTCAGCATAGAAAAACGTCTCACATGAGTGATGACTCTATGGGTGACTGAAGATCGAGACGAGGCACTCGTACCTACTGGCAAGACGTGCAAGTTGGGGGCCGAATCTGCAGTGCCCGAAGCCTGAAGTTTATTATTGTCTAGGCGCATCCGTGCTGTCTCTACGACGTGTGCCAACGATTTAGGCGCCGCGCCTCTGTCCCACGTCGGCAAAGATCCATGTCAACTGTCTCGGGTGCATGTTCGTCTGGGGCAAATGGGGTTTCCTCAGGCGGGAGAATGAGACTGAGATGGCCCCAGACTCTGGTGGGATATCTTGACAACTGCCGCAGTCTTAGGTACGCTCGAGCGTGGTACGACGTCCATGTTATCTGTCCACTGTTTTTCGTCCATTGCCGATGAAACCTAATGACTACCTAATGATTTTGGGCATGCAGAAGAGTCTAAATGCAATGTCGTCAAGTATGGCAACATTATAGATGTCTAGCAGATCACGCGACTGGTGCAAGTTTGCCGCCGGGGTGACTAGAGCGTTCAAAGACAAGTAGACATGGACTCCCGTCACGACTATAGACGGCGCAGAAGAGGTACACTGCCCGCCTACAGTAGGTAGTACCATCCACTAGGTATTTCTTTTCCAAATTACCGGCGGTCAGCCCTCTTGTGGTACTGTGTATGTCTAAGACCCGGCGGCTGAGGTTCAGCTGTGGTGGCCTGGACCTGACCCGTTGGTACTTGAGGATACACGAGCTGATTCGGCCTGCTATAATTACCTGGGTACGCAGGCAGCCGTGAAAAGAGCGCTTGTGCTGTGTTGGTCCACGTTCGTTTATCCGCAGATGACCGGGGCGAGGCATCGATGGCCTGAGCGAAATGTTTCACTGCACCAGACGGACTTTTCTCGCAGCAATGCAACGACTGGGCCAGAAAACGGCTGCCTGATAAGGTGGGTGATGGTTTGCTGGAGACATGAGGACTCCTGGTCGCCGCTTGTCGCTCGAGGAGTCCAGTGAGGGGGTGGCCGGGGTGCCGGGGTCCGGGGGGTTGGAGACTAAGGTCCCCACATCGGGTTTGTAGTGCCATCCACAACATACTTCGTAGATGCATCTGGTTACCCATCCCATGGTGTCTTATGGTTATCTGGCAAGGCAAACGGTACAATACCTAATAGGATCACCCATCTTAGTCCCATTCGTATCAAGAAACACCTCACGATATGAGACGAAGGGGTCCACGCAGTAATGCCATTTAGAGGCTTTCATGCCCAAATGTGTATCCGTACCTAAGGTATGGACACTCCGTACGTGCTCCGTACAGACCGGATGACCCCACTCTGTCAGCAATCGCGCAGCCCTACGACATCAAGCTAAGCCGTTCTAGGCCTCGAACGAGAGGATATCTGCGTACCTCCCCTGCTACCCTGCCACACTGCACCGAACTGCGAAGGACTACTACGTAAGGAGGCAGTGACACCCAGTACCTATTCAAAAACTAGGTATCCGTATCCGTACACACCTGGGATGGCAGCCATTGTGCGGATGAACCGACGAATGAACGGCCTGCCCCGTGCTTTGGCGATGCTGACTGCCCCCATTCCCTCCCGATACACCGATAGATGGAAGAGGCAGGCGTCACAAGAGTGTGTCCCTACCCAAGGTATGTTGGTGCCTAGGTATGCTGATGCCTTCTTGCCTTCCATGTGTTCCATACACCTCCGGCGGGTAAAGCATCTTGAGGTGAGTGTTTCTGGTCCTGCGTCCTCTTCCAAGATGCCATGCTCCGCGTTGCTATGCTTGCACCCTTGGTACTCATTGACTAAGGTGGTAGTACGCAGTAATGATGGCGGCGGTTTAGGAGCCGAGACAAAGCAGTCCATCGAGTCTGGGCTCATGTGGACACGGAGACTAGGCAGGTTAAAGCAGAGAGCTGGCGATATCGTCTCGACCCTGTGGCGTTGGCGCCCACCTATCCAGACCGTTTTTCTCCCCATCTCAAACTACCCACGTTAGCGATCCCCCTCGACGCCGCTCCTACATCACAGCCTTTCCATTCACAGCAATTTCATGAGGTAAGGTTGGTAGGTACCTACCCTACTTCACCTTACCTTAAATTCCCTCTTCGGGCGGTGTTGGAACTTGGGACCCCAGGCCCTGCCATCCTGTACATACATGATAAACCCCTCTCTTGACCTGGTCGCTTATGTTCCCTCATCTACAAGGTGGGCCATCCATCCCCTCCACTTCGCTCGACCCTCGCACTATGGCCAATCCAACCACTGGCTCCCCTTTCTAACATGTAAGGTAAGCCGACCGACCGACGGCCACCACCTCATGTCACGTATCTCGTCGTCGCCCCCTCAGCTCTTACCTTAATACCCTAAGCCAGAAAAAGCATAAATGACCATCGAGTCTTACTCTCCCGCCACCAACATCTCTTAAACCAGTTGGCTCCCCCCTCCTATTGCTCGCCACTGTTGTATTTTCTCTCATAGCACTCCCTGTTCCTGCCTCATATTGTTGACTCATAGAGGTATTTAGTGGTTGAGCCCTTGAATTTCCCTCCCCGCTTCTGTCCACACCAATCTCACTTCAAAGATAATCGAGGCATTCGGCACTATAGGCACGATGAGTAACAGTTACTACTCCGACTCGGACGACCTTGACATACGAGTCTCGAGGCGACGAGCACCGTCGCCTTCACAGGTTCACTATGTCGAAGCGAGACCAAGACCCCCTGCTAGGAACTACTACCCGTCAGCAGGCCAACAGCCTAGCTTCTTGGCTCCGGAGCGCACAGTCATCACCACCCGCACCCGATCAAGAGAGCGTTCCCGTGAGCGCCATTCTACTCCACCAGGTGGCCCCGCTCCGGCTCCGATTCCGGCCCCGGCCCCGGCTCCTGTGATAATCAACAACCGTATCTACAACGAACACTCGTCCGATGATGAGGACGACCGCCATATGCAGGTCTACCGCAATCGTCACCGGTCTCACTCCCGTGGCCACTCGTCTCATTCTCGGTCACCTTCGTCCTCTTACATGACCCGGGAGGATTATGAGGCAGAACGGGCTCGGCAGGAGCTAGCAGAACTCCGAATCTGTCAGGCTCGCGAGAAAGAAGAACGCCGGGTCCAAAAAGAGTTCCGGGAGGAAGCCGAACTCCAGCGCGCCAAGCGCGATCTCGAAGATATCCGAACTCGTGAGGCTCGCGCTGCCGAAGAACAGCGCTTCAAAACCAAGATCGAGTTGGAAAAGTACCAAGAGGACATGCGCAAGTCAGACTTAACCAAGAAGCGAGAAAAGGAGGCTGCCGATGCTGTGGAACGCTACAAGAGAAAGGAGGCAGACCGCATTGCGCAAGAGAAGAGGGAGAAGGAGCAGCGTGAGAAGGAGTTCCAGCAGAGGCTCAAGGAAGAACGTCAAAAGGAGCTGGACAAGCTGGCCAAGGAAAAGAAGGAGAAGGAGGAGCGTGAGAAGGAGTACCAGAGACGCCTCCAGGAGGACCTACGTAAATCAGGTCTCGATGACAAGGCCATTGCCGCCATCCTCAAGAAGGAGAAGATTCCGGAGCCACCGAGGCAAAGGCCGGCCCAACATGATCACGCGCTCGTTCCCGCCAATCGCCCAACCTACACGCGCATGGCACGGAAACATCTATCGATCGAAACCTTGAGGACATACCAGGTCGAATGGGAAATGGATGTTGTAAGCAGAATCAGAACGCGACTATTCCCTGTTGCAATTACTGACTTATCTCAGGACCCCGACTACGTGCTCATCAGACGATGGGTCCCGGAATGGGAGCAAGACACCCTTTGGAGACACACCAGGTCGGTTCGCGAGAAGCGTTCATCCAAGCTCGTACTCGAGATCGAAGACAAAAAGCCGCACCGCCTCGAACCAGAGTTCGAGTGGGTCAGGAAGAAGAGTGACCGGAAGAGAAGCAAGTCGCCCGCACTCCTCATGTATCTTGCAGGGGCGAAACCGGCTTGATCTGAGAAGGCGAATTTCGGGTCGGCGTCGGGACCGAGGACGACAGCCATCGAACGCGACGATGGTGTTTCTATATAAGACAAGATCTTATGCCCACACCAATTCAAGGGGCGGGGTGGTCACACAAGGTACCTCATATACCCGAGATGAACGACACCCAAACATGGCTACCTATATTATTTGTTTTTGGGGGGGATATATACCATCAGCTACTAGTACAAGTCTTCTTTGCAGAACGTTGGGCTTCTTTAAGTGATACAAGGTGCCCGGGAATATGTGTTGGAGTGCGTAATCGCTATGGCTCCGCCGTCGTTGTTGTTGCCAAGTTTGAGGACCAAGTACGTTCAGCTCTTCTCATCAGTTCTTCGTACACAGTCCAGGCCAAAGCTGAACTCATTGCTTTTCTGCTCATGCGGAGTGCAACCCCATCCATAAGGGACCGTATGCCCTCTTCCGAAACCATCTTGCGGCAAGCCTGGTACATGTTTCTGTACACGGCCGGCTGCAGTTGAATTCTGGTTTTGATAGCATCGAAAGGATTCGAGATAACGGAGCACGCTCCACCGGCCATGACGGCAGAGCTGAAATTGACGAGCGTTGCATGCGATGTTGGAATGGCGAAGGGGCGATTTGAGTTGTTGCCGTCCTTTGGAGTAGACAGACTGCTGAGCTGCTTCTTGAGCAGCTCATAGAATAATACATACATGCCTGCATACGGTGCATCACGGACCGCGGTGGCACCGAAGCCAGCAAAGAAGCCTCGTGGACCATGTGTTCTGTAAATGTCGGAAGAAGCGCCGAGCAAGGATTTGTAGGAATACAAATTGGATTCATAGCGAACCTTGATGACGGTCAAGGGCATGAGTACAAAGCCGGCAAACGTTCTGGCGACGGCGCCGGCGACCAGGTTCGCCGATGGGGTTAGCGTCGGTAGTGAGGACGAGTGTGTTGCTCTATTGCCGGCGGCTTGGCCCAGTAAGCGCGACTGAGCCACATGCTGGCGGATGGAGTTGAGAGATGTGAAGTAGAGGGCCGAACCGAAGCCGGTTCTAAGGGCTGATGGGATTGTGCCGCGCCAGAGCGTCTGGATCTTATTTGGGGCAGCGGCAACCTCCCTGAGATACGACCTCAGTGACCGGTGGCCAGATTGTTGAACACGGGTCTTGAGTAGGTCAAGCGGTTGCAGCAGCACCGCCGATGCAATACCGGAACCCAGTCCAGCAACAAAATGCCGAGCTGTGAGAGGAGAGGGATAGGTCAGCGCAGACTCGATCAAAGGTGCGTATCGAGAGGAGTGTCAAAGGGGTAAGTAGCGCGCAGAAAACACGCGTATGATTCAACAAAGATGCGTAGATAAGTATTTCTGTCTTTTCTTACATGATTTTGTACGGACTGGGGCCGCCTGTTGAGACATGGAGACTTGTGAGAGAACTGATGTTGTGTCTTTTAGACGAGGAGATGATACTAGGCGGATTGCGGTGCAATATCGGGTGGTGCGGTGGTGACTTTCTTTTATGTGCGAAAATGAATTTGAGAAGCAAATGCCATAGAGTTACCAAGCAAACTTTTTCGTAAATGTACAGAGTGCTCAATGAGATGTGACGATATTGAAGGTAGAATGAGAACGGAAAGACGATCATAAATTGTGATGACTTTTCAAGAGTGGCTGGCAGGGTAGATAGATATCTTCATAAGCACATGAGGTAGCTAAGTTGAGGTAAAGGTATGGTCGTGGAGGAAGGTCGGTGCTTCTTACCCGCTAGCCATATCGGGCAACGCTCAGCGGAAGATCGGGGCGCCGTCATCGGTGTAATGACGGCTATATACATAATAATCCCTATGGGTCCGACCGGGTCTTTCCGATCAGACAGCCTCCGGCAGGGCCGGCGTTCCTTGCCCAATTTTCGACGTTTGCTTACACAACTTTGGAGAAACGTAAACCTTCGGTTGTACCCGGTGACCTCCTCGAGAACTCGACATTCTAGGCTGTCGGTAGATTGCTATTCGAGCGCAGCGAGAAAAACAATGCCCATTGCTTGCGATGGCTAACAGGCCGTCGAACGTCCGTCTCATGAGGTGCTGATGAGTCGGCGCTGTATGACCTTGTCTTCCATCTTGCCTCCCTTCTTGACTGGCTTTCTTGCCTCCCATCTTGCCCCCTTTGTAGTCATCTTCCACCAAACGTGCCCAGAGAGCGATACTGCGACTCGTAGCACCCCAAAGACTCATGCCTCTTTGGCCCCTGTCGCCTTGAAGTCACCAATAACCGATTCAAGGCGCCCAGACAGTAGCCGGTGCCTTTTGACTATGTCGACCCATTCAGACTGTCTTGTTACTTCGTAATCGTCTCCTAATGTCGCCAAAAGCATTCCAAAATCACCTCCGAGCCTACCCAAACTCCCTGAACAGTACAAAACCTGCGTGAGGATACTATCCCTTGCTGCTTGGTCTTTCACAACTGGGAGGTACTTTTTCAAGGTTTCGAGGAGCATCTCCACAAGATGAAGCGGGAATGTTGATAGTGTCGATGGCATGGGTTTAAAAGGATTCTCGTCGTCGCTCGTAGTCCCAGTCTGGGGTCCAGTGCCAGAAAATATGCTCTTGAACATGGAGACAACGCTGAAGCTTTGCTCACGGAAGATCTCAACATAGCGTTTGAGATACTTTTCTGTCTGCTGCCCGCCCGACCAGGCCTGATGATTGGCGTTCTGTTGCCTCTGCCTCTCGTCATCAGCCAGCTCACGAAGAGGTTGTAAAGCCCCCAGGGTAGCGTCCAAGGTGGCTACGCGGCAGCAGAGAAAAAGTAGCGAGAGGGTGTGTTCCTGAGAACCACGGCTCGTGGAACTCATAGAAGACATGTCCGGAAGTACCCTCCTGAGCCAGCTGATCGTTCGCAATGATGCAGCCAGCTTGAGTCCAGGGGACTTGAGGGCAGCGATGAGATCGGCCGTCATCTTCACGATGGCCTCATCAGCTTGGTGGGACACAAGGTCGACAAGTGGTGAAGATGAGTACAAGCCGTGAAGTCTCCGAATATGGGCGTTGAGATCAAGGGCGGATGCGTAATTAGCAGGAACGGTGTTGATGGCGGAAGAGAGTAGGGTTGGAAGTTCTAGCACGTCGACGAGACGTTCGACATTGCGAAGTAGCAGTAAGGCGCGTTTCCTCTCCGCCAAGTCCTCATTGTCCCGAGATTTGCTGTAGGTGGCGGAAAAGCGCAGGGCCTCTGCTTCAAGCTTCGGAATGGCATTCCGTAGGTCTGCCGTGTCGGCGACAAGAGTGGGCAACGCGCGGGTTAGGCTTGTGTGATTTGAGGCCGAGTCGATGATGGACTTGTGAGAGCGCTTTGAGACGCCTTGAAGCGAGAGGAGAAGTGAATGTGATGTCTGGGCCAGGGATTGAGGCTCAGTCGAGGCTAATGCTTCCGGACTCTGATCGGCGAGATGGGACAGATATGTGAGCCTGGTTGACCTCGTTGTCGGATTGAACAGGTTGTTGGCGTCGGCATCGAGGCTCGTAGACTGCCGAGAATCGAGTAGGTCAAGGAGAATGTCGGCCATATTGACGAGATGCTCACATTGGAAAGTTGTTGTCGATAGCTACCTTGGGCAGTAGGCAAGGTAGATGCCGTCGTCGAATACCAGACCAAGGGGTTATCTGTCACTCTCAGGGCAGTTGCTGAGGTGGGAGCAAGTGGTGGCACCTGCAGGCTAGCTTAGGTAGCTTAAGGTAGCTGCACACCGAAGAACCATACCTCAAGCTAAGGTACCCTGTCATCTAGGTAAGCCATATCGATGAATTTAAGCAGAACATGACTAAAACCGAGGGCTGCAGCTTCGGGGCCGTTGGTTCTCACCTGCCACTTCGTCTATGCAGCTGAGGTACCCATTATCATCTACCTACCTTGCTCCATACCTTGAGATAGTAATCAAGACCAGACCCAAGTACATAGCACGAACGGCCGAGGGTGCAGAAACGTTTGAGCTTTCCAGGCGACCGGGATGCTGACTACTTGATATTAAACTATGTACGGTCACCATACCGAAGCAGTGCACCTTCCTTACCTACTACTTACAGTTCACAGCACCGCCTCACTCAAGTATACCGTGTTGCGGTCCTTCTGTTACAGGGCGTGTGATGCCATCATGAGGCGGATAGCTAGCTCTGGCCCTAGCATCCCACGACCCCCGACCACAGTGCAGCTGACACGCAGCCATTTCGTGCCACAATGTAGAGCTTGGGTTCACAGGCGGAATAGCCTCGAAAATAACTGCCTGAGAAACACTTCATGTCTGTGAACTGGAGCTCACGGCCGCCCCACCTCTGTGCCCAGTGCTCGACCAAGGGTACCTCACAAGGTCACGACACAGCTGGCGGGCGGCCAGGTGCTACAAGTCTTCAAGGGTCCTCCTCCATCAAGCTTAGCTTCCCCCAACAATCCGTCAGCTCCCCGCGCGCCGACCCCTGCTTTGCCTTCGCCTACCTCATAGCCACGCGAGACCTTGGGCCACTCACTTACTGCTCACGTTTGTTTCTGCTTGTCTCGACCGCCTCTAGCATCTGACAGACTGACGAACCGATCTGGTGACAGAGCCTTCCTCTCCGACTCTCCGAGAACACTTTGAAAAGGAAGACATCCCCAACGTCCTGTGTCGCAAGCAAGCTGCACCGCCCACCTTCGACCCTCTCCCCAGCGTACCGCCGTCCTCTGGTACTCCCGAACCGAAGCAAGATCCCTCTCCAGCAGAAGCGGACAGCCGAACTCGCGTCGAGAGATCAACACGGAGAATGAAAGATCCCTTCTTCCTCGAGCCGCTGCCATGGCTCGTCAAGGCGACTCAGCCCTTTGCTGACTACTTCTCATTACCAACACTACCGATCCACGTTCACGAAGTCTTCGCCTCGGCCCTCCTCTACTCGGTCATCTACTACCCTGTGTCTCCTTTGCTGTCGCGATTGATCGTCGGCCGCAAATACACCGATCTACCTCGTAAGAGACGCATAAACTGGGACGCTCATGTTGTCTCTTTTGTCCAGAGCGTTCTCATCAACGGCTTGGCCCTCTGGGTCATGTTCGTTGACGAAGAGCGCAGCACGATGGATTGGCAAGCTCGCATGTGGGGATACACAGGTGCTGCCGGCATGATCCAAGGCCTTGCTGCCGGCTACTTTCTCTGGGATTTGGTTGTCACGAGCCTCAACTTCGACGTCTTTGGAATCGGCACCTTGGCTCATGCTGTCAGCGCCCTCTTTGTCTTCTCTCTTGGATTCGTGAGTCTGCCCTTGACGATACATCTCACAACCGAATCTTTCTTGCTGACCTCTAAATCAATCAGCGACCCTTTCTCAACTACTACGGCTGCATCTTCATCCTATGGGAGCTATCTACGCCCTTCCTCAACATCCACTGGTTTTTTGACAAGCTGGGAATGACTGGGTCCCGCGCGCAACTCTACAACGGCCTCATGCTCTTGTTCACTTTCTTCTCCTGTCGCCTCGTATACGGAACGTACCAGTCCGTCAAGGTCTTTTCGGACATCTACGCTGCAATCAATGCCCATCCCGTCCTGCCCAAAGAGATTTCCCCGGAAACAGGCGCAGTGCTCGCCCCGATCGGTGTCATGAGGTTTGCGACAGGGTCGTCCACTGTGCCAACGTGGCTAGCCGTGACGTACCTAATGAGCAACATCACTCTCAACAGCTTAAACTTTTACTGGTTCATCATGATGATTCGTGCGGTTCGAAAGAGATTCCAGCCGGCAAAGTCAAGAGAAAAGCAAGCTGCTATCGAGCCCTCTTCTGCCAAGGCCACAGCGCCATCTGTCGGGGTTCAAGCTCGTCGGCGCAAGGCATAGAGCTTTTCAAGAAGGAGAGGATGGGCATTCGCATGTAGGTCTGTCATTCCCACCTTTGGCAGCGTGTGTGGTGTGGGAAGGCTGGATGATGAGGGCACTGGGCAGAGCGAAGAACTGTATAAATACATGGTGGGATGTTGCCTGATCTTTGAACTTGGGTGGCTTATTGCTTATTGTTTCACGTAATCGATAGATTAGTATTTCATTTGACTTGCGTTGAGAAGCTACGCTAGTTTGAGAGACGCAGCCTATTACTGTCTCATTCTCGACACCATACACGTGCCTCCTGTCTGCTGCTTGTTTATGCAATGCCCTTGAGGGCCAAGACTACCAGACTGATGGCTAAATAAATCATTGATTTCACCTCTATCCGGGAAGCAAGGTCAAAGGAGTAGTATTAAGTACATCTATGCACGTACACTGGTATGACGGTGGTAAGCACACATGGTACCTATGCTATGCAGGGTGTGTCCAGGAAAGGGAAAATACGGCCAGTTGATTCGCTCGCTCCGATCCGGAAGATGAGGCCATCAAGGACGGGAATGCATGTGCATTTAGAAACCGAAGGGATTGTTGGGAGCTACATAATCCGGTTAGCAAGATCCTGAAAAGGCCCTCTAGATAAAACCGAGTGTACTGACTTGCTTGGGAGAGATTGGCCCGCCGGCCTGTAGCCTGCGGCATCAACTTCTTTGCGTCTCCTGTAACACCGAAGCGAACCGGCGGAGGAGGTCCTGTCTTCTGAGGCTGTAAAGGCTGCACCGGTGCTTGAAGCCCGGCACCGCCCATATTGTTGAATCCTCCCATGCCAGTTTGCTGCGGCTGGAAGCCCGGCATGCCGGTTCTTTGCGGCTCCATGGCAGGGGGTAAGAATGAGTTGATACTTCCGGTGGGTTGCGCATTGAAGCCCTGAAGCTGACCGAACTGACCAGGGAAGCCAGTAGGTTGCGCCTGCATCGGAGAGAACTGGCTTTGCCTTTGCGGATCCGCGAAAGGGCTTTGAGCAGGCGCACCTGTCATCATAGGCTGCTGCATCGACTGCATAAACTGTCCACCAGTCTGCTGCATGCCGGAGTTGAAGCCCATCACACCTGGTACTGGTTGCTGCTGAGGCACGGGATAGGCGTTCATCTGCTGTTGTGGCATTTGCTGCTGCTGCTGCTGCTGCATGGTATATTGCTGCTGCAAACGTGCTTGATTTATGTCATTCATGCTTTGCCCTGGCGGTGCCACCTGAGTCTGGAAGCCGGTCATCTGGGGCATCAACGGCGGCGGCGCAAAGGCGCTCTGCTGAGCAGACTGAGGTGCTGACAGCGGTCTCGACGGCGGTGGAAGCATCAGCGAGCCAGTGGTCGCCATGGACGGAGGCGGAACCGGCCTTTGCCGTTGTGCAGCTTGCTGGGGCAAGCCTGTAGAGTTTGGCCTGATGGTATCAAAGAATGAAGGCGTAGCTCCAGTGGGTTGAGGTGCCTGCGCCGGTGCCGGTGGCTGGATGACGACCGGGCTCGGTGCCGGCGGCTGGGCTGTCCGTTGCGGCTCCAGAGGCTTCGATAGCATTGATAAATCCTGCATTGATCCTGTGAGAGCAGGCACTTGCTGAGGCGGTGTTGGTTGCTCCGGTGGTTGAGTTGGAGCCGGAGTAGGAGCCGCAGCAGGTTGAGGGGGCTCTTGTGATTGCTTTGCGGGCTTCACGTCCCATGCATCATCATCAAAACCACTGGCCGGTTTGGTCGTCGATGTTGACGCAGAGGCAGGCGACTTAGACTCGGCATCTTCGCTCGAGCCAGCCCCCTTTGCAGCGAATGCCTTGGGGTCCACAACATCACTCGTCTGAACTGCCGGTGCTGGTCTGCCTTTCCTGGTGTTGTTCCGAAGAGCTCCACCAGGACCGGAGAAGAGGCCGCCAGAAGCTCCGTCGCCTTCTCCATTTGCCTTGTCAGCGCCGTTCTTCACTCGGCCAAACTTCTGGTCCAGTGTGCGCATGACTTTCAGTATATCTCCTTCACGTAGACCCAAATTGCGAAGCACCGCGGCGTCAACGTCTGGGAGTACACTTTCGTCCATCGAGTCCTTGGCGAAGGCCTGCGCATATCGCTCGCACAAGCCTACGGCAACGTCGCAAGTGAGGAAGAACTGGAACCAATCGTACTCGGGCTTCTGCGGTTGTCCAACTGAGGCACCGATTCCGATTGGGGGCGAATTTCTGGCTTGTGAGGCCCTGGCTTTCTTGACATTCGACAGTGGCTTGTCTTCGTCCAGTGAAATGCCAGTAGCGCGTTCGACGTATTCGAGGTCCTCGACTGACATTTTTGCCACAGGGACTGCGATCTTGACGCCATTCATCTTGTGCAGATTAATTTTGCCGTCCTTAAGTCCAAGAAATTGCGCGTCGACGCTGAACGACTTCGATCGATCCGTCCACGTCCGAACTTTGGCGGGATCCGGCTCTGTGATGATGGTATTAGCAAACAGTGTACTCCAGAAGCTGATACTCGGTGTCGTTGCTTACTAGACTTGCCAGATCGGCCTGAACTGCCGCCTTCGCCACGTCCGTTTTCGCGTTTACTCCTCTGCCCATAGTTATTACCATTTTCTCTTGCCATAAGACTACTGCCTCGCTTTGGTAGAGGCATTCCTGGCCCTACCTGCTGTGAGCTGTCCCTCTGAGCCGCTTTGACAGCCTCCTTTGTCAACCTGATTTCTTCCAAGCGATTCTGTTCGACGGTTGACTTCGCCGCGTTCAATCCGGTATTGCTGGTGGGCGCGGCGATGGAGCCCGTGATCTCGATGTAGCTACTCGGAACGACGCCCTCCTTGCCGTTTTTAACACGCCGCACTTGCCACCATTCTTCGCTCTTGGTGTCGTCGATTATGATGACGTCGTCGCCGATGGCAACAGTGACCTCGTCGTCGCCTTGGGCCATGAAGTCGTATAGCACTTGACCTTTCTTCTGAGCCTTTCCCGAGCCGGCCAGAATAACCTCCCGAAGCCCCTCTGCTCTAACGGCACCTGCTAGTTCGCCTAGAGCGCCCACGATCTCTTCAGCTGTATCTTTGGCTCCGGCATGGAAGTCCACGCTTTTGCTCGGCCTGACAAGCTCCAAAAATACGTGCTTTCCCTCGCGAGAGTAGTGCGTCATCTTCTCGGCTGTCCATTCTTGAGAGGGACCATCCTGGGCACGCTCTGGGGCAATCAATATGTTCCCAGTTGCTAGGTTGATACCCAGAGTGGTGGGCATCTTTTTCCGCTTGCCCATCACGGATACCATCTCGTTGATATTGTACATGTGGAACCCACCAGGCGCACGGTAGGGTGGTTCTTCGACTTCGGGTTCTTGGTCGTACAGGCGGGTATCTATCGACCGTTGAGATTGGATTCGTGCGGGCGCGGGTGCGGGTGCCGGTGCGGCCTGTGAGATTGGACGGGCGGGCAGAGCCGGGCTTCTGACCGGCTCCTCATCCGATGGCTCTGATGCCGGAGACTGCGGTGACATTGGGGGAGTAGCAGCGCGTGGTGGGGGGGCAGAACGACCCGCCATCACACCTGCCAGAGCCGCTGCGGGATTGTTGTCACTGGAGTTGGCAGACATGTAGGCAGACTCCGGCCTCTCCGAATAGCTTTCCGTAACTGCGTTAGCAGAACTTGTTCGTGCCGGTAGCGTTGGAGGCGGCGAAGGTTGGGCCGCCGTGTCTTCTGCTTCGCCGACTTCAATGTAATTGGCTGGTACGAAGCCATAATCGTCATCTAGACCGACCAGAATCCAGTCAGGGTCTGACGTGTCGTAGACGTCGAGAACAGCGTCCTCGGGGAAAGAGAGTTCCTCGTCTGTTTGCCTAGTGTATTCAAACAAAGCGCGCGCCTTTGCGACAGGTTGTGCCTAAGATGCATTTAAGATCAGCACTGCGACACAGAATGAAGCTTCGATGGGAGCGGTTTCGAGTGCGCCTACCTCTTCTACATAATTATTCGGAACGAGACCTTCGGGCTCTTCTTCGTCGTCGGCACTAGCCTTCTTCTTTGCTTTCCACCAATCATCCTCGGCATTCTTTTCGAGCACGTAGAGAATATCCCCGTCGTTGATGGAAAGCTCGCCTTCAGCCTGGGGCACATAGTCATAGACGGCCCTGTAGACTCCTAAAAAACCCATGTTTGCGGGGTTTCTTGGGCTTCAATGCGCCGGAATGTTCTCGACAAGGATAAATGATCGCGTGGACGTTTATGTGCGGGGAAAACCGCGTATCATGAGATAGAATGGCAGCGGTTTAGGGGTGGTGGTCGAGGGTGCCGTACTTCTGGCTGGAGGACAGTATAGGGAGGAGTCGCTGCTCGTTGCCGGCGTCCCCGCGGATGGGCAATGGTGGAAAACTCGCAGAGATCGGGAGATCGGGCGTTAAGAGGTTCCTAGAGGCACAATCGGTCATGGTCAACTTCAGGGCCGCCACATAGCTGGAAATCCAAACGCTCAAGAGGGTGATCGCCGAATCAGTGAATGTATGTCGGTCAGAGTGGAACGTATAGGCGATGCGGTACGATGACATTTCCCATAGACTAAGGTAGCTAGGTGTCTTGGGCAGAAGAGGGAAGGCAAGTACAGACAGCAAGGACGGGGGTAAACACAGCGCGAGATAATGGTTATACGAGATGCTCTAGGGACAACTTACAAGTCATGAGGTGGCAGTTTAGTACGCACTCGGTAAGTGTGTCCGGTATCGCGATTCGCATCAGTTCGTGGGTTCGTGAGTACGGATGATGGTTGACGTTGAGTTGAGCTGCTTGGAACTGGCGGCAACTGCGGCTGGGGCGATTTGGCAGCTTGTGCAGTACCGCGGGAATTGAGAGTTGATGTAGTGTGTTAGACAGGATGGTGGCTGGAGGAATATCTAGACCGAGCAAAGGCGTGACGGTGGGAAGTAGGTGGTAGAATGGGAGATGGAGACGTGATTATCGTAGCGTAGCGGGTGCTCAGGTAGTTGCGGTTATCCGTTAGGCATTATTATTGCCATATGCGATGATGGTGGAGGTGTCGTGGCCGTGATAGGCACTAGGGAACCGGAGGAGCTGGGCTGGGGGCCGGTACGCTGAGTGAGACTGACCCGGTGTGGAGAAAGACAATTCTTGCGCACTGGTGATGAGCTGGGCACACTGGCGTGACTGGGCATAAGGTAAGCAGCAGGTAGGTACCTTCCAGGTTGTGTTAGGTGGGGGCCTCCGTTATCCGTCACTGCCGTCATTGTTAGAAACCTGGAAGGAAAGGTGCTCAGCTGTCAACCCATGCCTGAAGACTTAGGAACACGGATAAATACATATATATATATATATATATACAGCATACATACTTACACATGCGTCATGTCGCAGGTTGGTGCCAAATACCTTACCCCCTATCCTGGTCCGTCTTCGCTCGGGAAAAGTAAAGAACTTATTTGTCTCTTATTCCCCCGCATATGACTTTGTAAGTAGGTGAGTTCATACAATATTGAACCATTGAGTTAAAAGTGTTTGTCTCTTATGATACCCCTCCTTTCCGCAATTGATGTTGCAAGTGACCTGAAAGACAGGCACCCTAAGCTCAAATGCCTCATGTCTGCAGCCCAAGTGGCCCTCCCCCATGATTCGCTGCTCAACAGGGGAGCATCGTCATGTCACAGAGAGCGGTTCATGAGTTGGACATTTGTCCAATGGCCTTGTCAGAGAGGCCGTCGTGATTCATGCGCAGCCAGGCCCTTTTCTTACGATTTCTACGTAATGCAATATCATGGACAGGTACCATTAATTGCGGGCCAAAGATCGCGAAACACTCTCCAGCATGAAGCTCTCCGGCTCACCGTGTTTGAACAAGTGTCAAACTGCCCAGTATCGCACACATGAATGGATTCGTGAAGAGGAATGTCTTTTATCCAGGTATCTTAATGCATTAGCCAATGCTATCCCTTAACCTTGTCTCCGATCTGCAATCCGCCATGATGGATTCAGATTATTTTCCCCATCCTGTTCACCATGCCAGCCCAACCAGCTACCTTACTGGCTGTTCCCTGTTCTGCCCCGGCTGAAAACCCCGGGAAACAATTTGGGGTCCTGTCCCGAGGTGTGGCCGTCAGTTGACCACGATGCCTCTCCCGAAGGTGCGAGACTGGCAGGAGAAGCAACTACCTCCTTTTCAAACACAGTAGCACTGTTGGACCCTCCCACAGCAGCTGTCTGCTTACCGCCTCCGCTACCCGCGCTGGCCGGCTCGCGTTGCACCGCAGGTTGGTGTCCACCGATGATACTTTGAGCCACACTCTGCTGGTCAGCTGTGACGGTTGAGTCGGAGGTTTCATTGGAACCATAGGTGATGTACTTGTGAAGCCTATAACTCGTTAGCATGCTCCTGGGCCCAAGTCAGAGTTGTGCCGCCATGATGCTTACATGTCGTGTTCCTCTCTCAGGGTCTGGTATCTGAATTCTTCTCTGCGATCAGGCACATTGGTTTTCACCATGGCATTGCCTGCCTTGCCCGGGAGTTTGAACTTTGGCCCAAGCCACTGCTCCTTGATCGCACTTTCGAAGCCACTTTGCGTGACTGAGTTCTTTGCGAGTTCACACATGTCGACAGGGCTCAATTTGTAGATCTGAGCGGCCACAGCGTACTCCTCCATCAGCGGCTCCTTTGTAAAAGCGAATTGAAGCGGATCGTCTGTCGACAGCGACACGTTGAGGCCTCGGCGGAAGTACTGGTAAAACGGGTTCCTCTCGTAGGCGAGGAATAGGGCGTTGTTACTCAGCGGCGACATGGCGATGCCAATCTGTTCAAGGTAGAAGATGTACTGCAAGAGCGGAACTTTGCGTAGTAGCAGACCATGGCTAATGCTGTGGCAACAGAGCAGAGCCACAGCCAGATGCTCGCTGTCACCAGCTTCACCACAGTGTGGTCGCAGCACAAACGTGTTGAATCCCCGACGCTGACGCAGTGCGTTGAGCGATGACATGTTAGAGAACAGGTAGTAGAGCCAGTAACTGTAAGGAGGGTTTTGCTTCGAGTCCCAGACCTTAGGCACTGGGAACTTCTTGAAAAGGCGCCGTTCGATTTTGCTCTCGTCGTCGACACTATCGAACCCAATCACTCTCTGCAAGAAGACATGCAGCTTCGGATGGCTTGAGGGATCTCTTGAGACCTCGAATAGGGGTTCGAAGACATTCTTGACCACCTGCTCGAAATTGTCCATGAGCCCGCTAGCCTTGTACACATCGTACAAACGAGGGATCTGGATGAGCCATCGAACGTTGTGGGAGAAAAGCTTGTTGTCGACAACCCAGGCGGCCAGCTTGTCCCATTCGTCCAGGGACTTGCCGTAAATGGAAATGCGCCATTCGACCATTTGGTACTTGCTCGATTCCAGATCAGCAATGACCTCCTTGGTAATTTCTGCCAGGTAGCGGCCATTGATGAAGTTGTCCGTCTTGAGGAAGATTGTGCGGAGCCGGGATTCGCCAATTGGGTTGTACTTGAGATTGAACTTGTCAAATCTGTGGAACGAATCTGTGTGCGCCTTTTGATAGGATTAGTTACGACGTTCAGGGGCATGGGAAGAAATACACGCTTCGGGACAAGAACTTACATGCATGTCCAGGGTGTCAATGGAAAGGTCGTATGCGGTAAGGTTGATGCTCTGGAACACCTCTGCTAGTGTTAGGTGCCTATCGTCGCGGAAAAGCACAACCTCGTCAGGGCACTTCTTCATCTTGCTCTTGATGAAACGCAGTAGATGTTTCTGGTTCATACAAGCAGAGTGGTGAACATGGGTGTCGACCTTGCGCACATTGTAGAAGTCTCTATGGGGAACTTTCTTGCTGTCCGCAGTCTCCTGATACTCGTTGAGGAGGGCGTATAGATTGAATTTGCCTTCGAGATACTGGAGCCGACGGAATGCAAAACTCTTGCTTGGACCGTCCGAGGAAATGCTCAGGATTTGGTCCAGATCCATGTAGAACTCTCGAAGGGTAGGGACCCGAATGACTGGGGTTCCTCTAGCCTCAGCCTCTGCGTCGTCGAATACTTGGTAGACACCACTGTCGTCAAGCTTGAAAGTCATCTTGTCGGCGGAGGGGACTGGGAGCACATCCTGCATATCAAAGTCTTCTCCAATATCTTGACCAGGCTTCCGCTTCTTCGATGTGGGCTTAGTCTCGGAACCCTGTACCCGACGGCTTGTGTGGTCATCTGCTGTTGTGGCAGATGATGGCAGAACCATGCTGCCATTCAGGCTATTGGCATTGCTGGTGGTTTGCTCGGCGGAAGCCACAGCCCTTGCGTGCTCGGCTCCCCAAGCTGGCTGGGGAGGGGGTGGATAGATCGACCAAGTAGGATCATCCCTGGGATTGTCATCAGGTCCTTGGAGAGAAAGCCCGATGTACCTCTCTCGTAGGTCCATGATGCTCTGAATGTTCTTCGAGATAGCACTGAGCTCGGCCGTGATGTGCGGATCGGTGTCTGAGAAGGCAGCCACGCCCAGGGCAGCATGCTGGTTCGTGACGCCAACACTCGGGCCAGGTTCATGGCCCAGGCCCAGATTGTTTGATTCGCTGTTCAAAAGCCTAGGGTCGGTCTCTTGTGAAAGGTGGTTCCGAGGAGGTGAGAAGTGCTCTGCGCTGGCAGCTTGCTGCTGCGTCGGTTCCGGCAGCATCATGTCTTCGTGTGCCGAAGCTTTCCCTCTGACGTGACTATGTCCTTTGCCTAGGGGAGAAGAGTCCATTGGATGATCGAAATTACGAGTGCCGGCAGCATCACGATGCTCGGAGCCGACAATGACGGGGCTGCCATGGGGTGTGGCATGGCCTTGAGACCACACACCACTCCCCGTCTTCAGCTGACCAACCTGGCTACGCTGGTAGAAGAGTTTGGCGTCCGTCTGGCTCATCTGGCGGTCCGCGACAGGATCGTAAAAGGCAGTCCTTGTGGGAAGATCGCGGGGAAGCATGCCGTCTTGCAAGCTTGCTCCCTCGTGGTCCTGGCCATGGGATGACAAAGGGTCTGCAACTGACGCGGGTGCATCGCTGGGAGTTAGCCCTTCTGACCCCTCAGAGCTACTGTCGCCTCGCGAGTCCAGCGCTCCCAATTCGACATCAGAGTCGGTGTCACCATCGTGAAGCGAGAACGTGGGGCCTCTTTTGGGGGAGGTCGAGGCGGAGGTTGGGTCTTTTTTGGTTCAATAAGGCTTGTGTCTGGAAAGGGCAAACTGTCAGCACAACACGAAGCACGAAGCTATACGCTGCAGGATAGGAGAAGAACTCGGCCGTCCACGAGGAATGGGGGGTAGCTTACCAGCGTGAATCAAAATTACCACATCCATTTGGGGGAAGAGGCTTCGAAGAGTACATACCAGCCATATCGAGAAGCGTTTTGAACCCTACTGAGGAGTGTTGTAGAGCCCTTCCCCCAAGAAAAGAAAACCGAAGACAAAGATCCAGTGATTCTCCAGAGGCGATGGCAGAATTATGATGGAGGAGCTATCGCAGTATCGGGTAATCGCATGCACTAGCACTCCATGTGGGATAAGGACCAGAGGACAATGGATACGCTGAGAAGACGAGGGGGGGTGGAGGGGTAGCGGTTGGCTCCGACCTCCGACCCGCGACCACGGCGGGGTCCTAAGCTGCCACTGCCACCGCGACTACAATGATAGCCTATCACACTGCCTGTGTGACTATGTCTTGGGTCCCCTGGGTATCGTTATGGAACTGGTTTTTGACTGCTCTCTGACTGTTCGATAGATTAATACCATTCAATAGTGCATAGGCAATTCAAGAAGGTCGCCGGATGAGTCAATGATTACAGTCACAACGTAGGTCCTATCGAGAGGCTCAAGCATTATCCATGATGGATCGCCAAACCGACACCATTTGTGTAACTCAAGTTCTCAATTGGAAATGTGTCTGAAAGTTTCTAAGAAGGGTTTCCTGCCGCTGGATCAGATACGTGAGTTCGTCCAGTCTGTCTAAGATTCCTGGCTCTATTTCGCACCCACATTCTTCTGCGCCCTTGAAGTCTTGGCTCTAGAATCCAACGAGTATAGCCCTCCAGCTCCAAATACAATGATTGCCCCGATCAGGGTCCCCGCGGCTAAGCGATTCCCGAAAAGCCATATGCTCAATAGCAGACTGACTAGCTTGCGAATGTTCAGAACAATGGTGACTGTTAATGCCGAGGACACGGCAGCGAGCAAGTTTACACCCCGGATACAAGCGTACTGGGTAACGACGTTTGTCACAAGATAAGCAAGTTGGCTCGGAATTTGGAGTTGGAAGAGCCCATCTCCAACATCCCCACTGAGGCCAAAGCCGGGAAGTTGCGCCATCGGCAGCGACAGAGGCGGACTGTTTGCTAGTTTTCGAAATTGGCGGATCAATGATGGCGCAAATGGTAAGAAGAGTGGCAGTGACAGAAGGTGTGAATAGAAGAGATTCTCTCGCCAATGAGGGCCGTATTGTTTGTACGTCTCTTCAGTGTAGAGACCCATGATGGCGGAGAGGACCTGCGCCACGAACAGCACAACGAGGCCGGTCCCAAAAGCGGGCTTGCCACTCCCCTCGGTCGCTTTTGAAGCGGACTAACTTGAGATTAGAACGAGGAAATTCGCCAGGTTTGGGATGGGACATCGTTTACGTACCTTGGACTGCGAATCCGACCAAGCTGCGGTGATGACACCGAATGTCAGGAGAATGACGGCCACGATCTGTATGCGCGAGTACTTTTTCCCATAAAGAGACCCGGCAACCATGGTTGTAATGCTTCCACCGGACCGAAGAATGATGTGCACAGGGACGGAGATATCGTAGCTGAACGCATGGTTGTTCAACACATTGATGCTGAAGAACAGGACAATATTGACGATCCAGCGGCGTAGAGGGACCTTGTTCTGCTGTAAGAAGAAGGGTGGTCTCGATCGATCGAATTGGGAAAAGTATCCGGTGACAGCCACGAAGAGGAATTGGACAAACGTCAAGAGGGTTCCTGTACACGAGCTTGTCAGAAGGAAGGACAGATTGCGAGGGCCATGATGACATACCACTTGCAGGTTCAACTCTGAAGGAAGAGGGCGCGATTAGCAACGGCAAATATGAAGAGGGTTGGCTTCAAAGGGCGGCAACGCCGGAGTATAGAAGCAGTGCTTACTTGATGATGGCTTCCAAGGCATAGACCTATACACAGCGAGGTTAGCATGTATGTAGCTTTGATACGGCGGATTAAGTATAGGATCACCAACATTGGAGCAGCAGCCGCCAAAGATTAGGCCAAGCATAACACCAACGGTGATCCATTGAGAAAAGAGACCGGCGACTATACGACCAGCAGTCTGCATAGACTTCTCGCTAGATGCGTGCCCATTCATGGCCAAACCGTTAGCGGCTTGATCGACCGTCTTCTCGTTCTCGTCATCGTAACCCCGGGCAGGAGAATCCATCTTCTCCAAGGGGGGCGATGAGATGCCTTTCGGCTGTCCGCGTCGTCGAGTGGCCGCCGGAGAGGACATTGAGGCTGTTCGGAGCCTGCGTGCGGATAGTTGGAAGGATTGAGCTAGACTTTTTGGGGTTCAAAGTATAATTGCAGAGGTGCGGCGCGCAGCGTGCAGCGTGTCCGAGACACTGGGACGCTCTTACGGCTGGGGAGCAGGCACGCAAGTACGAGGTACGGAGGCCAGATCAGGGCGATTGCGGGCCAATGACAATGGCGCAATTGGGATCTGAGCTGTCTAGGCTGTGTCGGGACTCCGCTCGCGCCCCCAAAGACCACGTCTGTCCTCAAGTCTTTCGGTCTCGAATTGTTCCTGGTCGGAGACTGTCAGTCATCAGGCGAGTTCGAGCGCTTTGAATACCGGGAAGTCATTGTTCCTCAAGGTGAGGCAGGTCGTTGTCAGAGTTGTACGACTAGTCATTCATTCCTACAATGGAATCAAGCCACAGTACAGACCAGAGTGGCAACCTCCACTTGCTCTTGCCTGCTTCTACTTCGTTAAAACGTTGCTTACTTCTGTCACGGCTATGTATGCGTACCTTCCATTGCCTGTCTTGCCTAGGTAAGGTAAGGTAGGTTGGTTGGTAGGTACCTAATGTACGGAGGTGCGTCTCAATAGTCCTTGCAGTTGCTGCCAAGACCAACCCCTGCCATAGACAGGGGAGTCGACAAGGGGCTGGCTAGGGTGTGTACAAGCGGCAGAATTCGGCCACTTCCACCCACTGTAATTATCGTCAATTCAGCGGTAAAAAGTCGTCAATTGAGGTCAATTAGTGGTCGTTTGACGGTATAATCCAGCCCGACGACCCTCTTTGTATTCATTGCCGCCCTCTAGGGCAATTATCTGTTGGATGTGGTGAGGTACCCTTTCTATCCATTTCTGGATCTCCTCTTGCGGTAATGCTTTCCAGCACTCTTGCCAGCGACGTACTGCTTCGGCCCGTGACGAAGGCGCCCCCTTCCTGGTGGTCCATCTCTTCATCCACGGCCAGCAAGGTTCAATGGGATTGAGGTCGGGCGAATTACCCGGCCAGAGAAGCTTCGTAATCTCGAAAAGGCTGTACGTATAGTGGGTGAAGTGATGGTCGTGAGCGGGTGCCTTGTCCTCTTGTACGATTGGATTACCAGGTAATCCTTTGATATAAGGGAATAATTTGGGTAATAGGATCTCTTTGCGGTATCTGTACCAGTCAATTCCGCCCTTGCCGTTCCGTATTAACTTGCCCGACTTCGCATTCCAATTGAATTGGGGCTTACGGCCCGGTTGGTTCCGTAAGCCCATTCGCTCCATACCACTCTCGAGCTCCCACTGTTGACGTCGAACGGGCTCGAGCTCTGCGTTAAGCTCGGTAATCACTGCGTCGGCAGCCTTCCTCTCAGCAGCAGTCTCGGGAATCCAACAGTGGCACGGCCCTTTCGAATCGTATGAGAAAGACCCCCAAAACATGAATTCGGAATAACCCTTCCACCTCTCTCGTATGTACTGCCTAGAGTAGGCCTCGTCTGGGCGACGCCAGAGCTTATAGCTACCGCGGCGGTGGTTGAGGGCAACCGCGGTCTCGTCTGACCATATAACCCGCTTCCAATCGTCGAGGGTCCAGTATTGGTGGTCGAGGCACCACTTAAGTCGCTCTTGCCGCATCCTTTTCGTTAAGCCTGGCTTGCGGGTTGGTTTAGTCTTGTGGAAGCCATAGCGACGAAGGATTCGCCAAACAGTCATTACAGATACGTCAACGCCCTCGTCCCTTAATAGGTCCCCAGCAATATCAATACAGTTCTTTTCACGCCCATACCGGTCGCGGCAGACCTTGCGGATGACGGCATCGTTGACCTCTTTCGTCTATTTGGTTGGACGGCCACTTCGGGGGGCATCTTCGTAATAGGCGGGCTCAATCGAGAAGGTAGGAGCAGTTGGGTCGAATCCGTTCTTTTTTGCGCGGGCAAGAACGTCGTAAACAGTTCGAACTGGAATTTCTAGAGCCTGAGAGACCTGTTCAGCAGTCCACCCAACAAGTCGACTTCGTAGAGCAAGAATCACTGCCCTGACGCCTGGATCTAGCTTCTTCTTTGTCGGCATCTCAGGATCCATACTGAGGAAAAAAGAGCAGCGTAGTAAGTAGCGATTTGGCGGTTTTGATATTATCGTAGGATTAGTGGTAGTATCGTAATGGCGGTGTATGGGGTAAAATCGTTGCTATGGGCAGTGCTGGGGGGAAAGTAAGTAAAGTGGGTCAAGATCAATCCCTAGGCTCTTATTGGTTCAGATGGGCAGTAATTGTGGGTCTGGGGCTTGGCAGCGACTGCAAGGACTATTGAGACGCACCTCCGTAGCTTTGGACGGCTTTAGCGTGACAGGCGGTTCCCTCGGGAGGTTCCGTACCTTGCGCTTTTCCCCATCCTAGGCTTGGGACCTGACGGCATCTTCGAGGTCCTTTGAGAACCAATCTAGGCCACCCGATCCAGACCTTCACCTACCTACATGGATAGGTAGACGCCTTTCTGTTAGTACGAAGGTAGTTGTCCTAGGTTAATTTCGTGTGAACAAGCTGAGAAGGCCAAGATCTTGCACCACGGACTCTGTCGAATGGCATGCTGCATGCATCGTCCTATCATCATCAAATTGTAGAAGGAACCTTGATTAGCTCTTTACTACACTGGGCAGGTCAAATAGCCATGACCTGGGATAGCTAAATGCAAAGGATATGGCGACGACCTGAGCGGTGCACACACTCGACACTTGGATACTCTATCTCGTGTACTTGGGCTTGCCATCACACATCATCCTATGACCAAAACAGGCGAGAATCTCGTTACCTCCAGTTCTACTATAGAAATCAGGGAGGCATTGGCAACCGTGGCGACGTGACACGATGGTCGGGCCCATCTATTCCTAGTGCTTCTTTCATATCTTCCACGTGTTCCTCCACCTCTGTCTTCTCCCCAAGCACTTTTCGATGGTCCTGAGTACCCAGCAACCTCTTTCCTGCTGGTCGAGTTGGCCTCCCAATTCTAAAGTCTAGCTAAGACGACGATTGTATCACGAGGCCACAGCCGTAACGCAGACCCCAGACATCTCCCCCTTGTCAACCAAATTCCACAGGTTGTAGGAGACGATAGCCTCGATACGCATCGACCGGCTGTGTTGCTGTGGTTGATCCGAACATGAGTGTCCTCACCCGGCATAGCCCTCGAGGGCTCCGGTTGTTCGTCATTCTTATAGTGCAGAGAAGACAAATAGCTGTTACGGAGTTAGCCCACTCAACCCCCGCATTCTAGGTATGGAAGAAGAATTATGGTGCTGCCAAGAACTTACATTGTTCGTTGCCGCAATCGCAATGCTATCCTCAAATGGATGCCAGCTCATATGGAGGATCTTCTTGTTGAAGTCAATCTGGTCGGCATCAGTTTCCTTGCGCATCCTTTGGCCCTGGCCACCGGCTCCAGCAGCAGGACTACCGGCACGGGAGCCTCCCTTCTTGCCACCGTTGGTTGCGGTTGGGCTGGTAGACGAGTTGATGGGTGTCGGTACGCCAACCTTCTTAGCCTTGAAGGCAGACTTGTCGGCCTGCAGCACCACCTCGACTTCCTTATCGGGGTCTGAAGGATAAATCATGAAATTGTTGTTGTAGCTGCCAGTCATGACATTCTTGGCATCCCCTGAGAAGACAACCTCAAACTTGTCAAAGATGCTGTCATTCTCATATGTATCGCATAACCGAGGACGCAGGTGCTCGTGGATGGGAATCGTCTTAACGGGCTGTCGCTCCATGTTGATATCCCAAATCTTCACCGTCAGGTAGTCGCGAGAGAGAATGTAACGACCGTCATAGGAGAACCGAACGTCTGAGATCGAGGAGATGATTTCCGAGAAAAACGACCTTGAGGACGGATCTTCCTCTTGCTCGAAGACTGAGTCGATGGCAAAAGGTTAGCATCAAAGCAGGCCACACAGGGTTTAGACGGAGAAGCACGGTACGTACGCTTAGCATGGCTATCACAGAGGGCACTCTGGCGCATGTCGGCAAGCTTGATGGTGCCCTTGGAGCTTGCATACATGAACCAATTGCAGCTCAGAGGGTGGAACTCGGCAGCTGTGATGACCTCGGTCAGCTCCTCCATGTTTGCAGGTTTGATGTCAACGATGTTGAAGCTCTGGTCCTGGATATTCAGGTTCCAGAGGTTGATGCGGAGATCGTCTGAGCTGATGAATGTCTCGCCATCGCTGTTGACGGATATGCTGTTGATGTGATAGGCGTGGGCATTTGCGTACGTTCGGCGAGGTACGGCGGCAACAACGGTGTCATGATGGGTCAGGCGGGGCATGATGAGGTCTTCAGAGTTCTTGAAGCGATGCGCAGGCGACTGCTTGGGGGCACCACCGCCGCCACCAGCGATGTTTGCGGGAGTCAAGTCATCGGATAGATTGTTCTCGGCGACGACCTTAAGCGACTTTTCGAACACCTTCCAAAGCTTGATCGTCTTGTCGTTTGTTGAGAGCAGGTAGTGTGATGCATTCTGTCGACGACACCACTTAATCTTATTGATCTTTTCCTCAATTTCCAGCGACTTCAGATAGTCGAACTCGGGCTCATGGGACTGGAATTCGGTATGGAACTTGTACTCGCATGTCTTTTTCTGTTCAAGGGCATCAGCATAAGGTCAAGAACAGAGAGTCCGCCCTCCATTTCGGTGCCAGCTAGGCTCACCGTTTCATTCCGTTCGAACAATACGACCCGGCCGCCTTTGTCTCCCGTCGCAAGGTAGTTACCCGTGTGATCGAACTCGACCGTCGAGATGATATCAGCTGAGAGAAAAGGTTAGATCTACAGACGATAGAGTGGACGGAAGCTGTCATGGCGGCGGATTGCGGACTGCATCTTACCTTCAGTGATGTCCTCCACATCGCCCTTGTCTCCAAAGCACCTATTGCGTAGCGTAAGCAATTATGCCAGTAAGGGCAGGGCAGTCGAGATGAGGTTGAAAAGGAAGACACGGAGCAAAGGAGCGAGAGCACGTACTGGGTGAACTTCCACGTGGGGGAGTTCGTGTCACTGTCCACCATGTTTGCAGACCAGTTCTGTACGGGCTAAGAAATGGACTCGTAGATGTTGATATGGACGAACAGAAGAGGCGAGGTGGCGGGGTATGTCGAAGACGGACGGAGGGGCGAGCTCTAGTCGTGCGGTAGGAGAGAGAGGCTGTCTCTCGGCGCTGGGAATACGGACAGGGCTGAGATGAGCCACAGGAGAGTCGCAGCTGGATAGCGCGAAGAGTGTGGGGTGGTGTTGAGGGTAACTGCGATGATGTGCGCGGGAGAGGAACCCAAAAACACGCAGGCAATGTGGAGGAGAGCGAGAGGCAATTGCGGACGAAGAGTGACCGAGTGGTTTCTATCTGGTTGGGATGAGGCAGAGATAGATCGGGCGGGTCGTAGTTGACGAGGGGTTGAAAAGGGAGGCCCGTAGCTCGAAGGCTCTGCGGTAAGGAAGGGTAGGTGCGTGAGGTGGTGTTTGGCGTATGCGGGCGTGGGCGTGGGAGTGGGAATGCTCCTGGGATTTGCAAAAAGGCGTATTTCGTCGGATGCAGGGACGGTTGAGTGTTCTGATGACGGCGAAGACCAGAAGGTCAGGTCGGTTGGTCGAGGGCTTGCACGTTGATCGTTTGGAGGGGGGGTATCGCGGCGCAGGTTGCGGGCAGGCGAGAGCAGGGTGCGGCAGAGAGCGCAAGGTCGAGGTTGGGGTGAGAAGGTAAGGTAGGTAGGTGGGAGTGGTGGAGTGGTGATGGATGGGATAGAAAGAGGTGACGCTAAGGTAGAGAGAGGGTCGATGGATGTTGCGTGGGCTTGATTTGCTTCCAGGTCTTTCAGATTTGCTAAGGTATCCGTACTGTATTCGTACCCCAGCTGACTGACGACTGGCACTGGTAGCAGGACTGGATGGGAGGCGTAAGGTACGAATGCTGCCCTGCCTGGTATGCTGCCCGCCCTGCGCTGGGTTACCTTAGGTAAGGTACACCTACCTACCCTAGGTCAATAGGTACCTTAGAGTATTGCAACCAACCTAAGGGCCTCCAACTTGGGGCTGCCCTGGAAGCGGGTAAGAGGGTCAGCACGGGAGTTCATGGGAATTGGACGACAATGGGGGACACCTGTGACCTAAGGTCAACCTGGAACTCAGTGGACAGGTGTTGATGGCCGGGGAGGGGCAGACCTGGAGCAGATTGGCACGATTGGGTTGAAGGCACGGACTCGCCCAGCGAATTAAGGTACCTTTTACCTTCGCGTCTGAGATACTAGCTTACATAAGGTTGACAAAAGTGTCAACACAACTTTGACTTACTGGCAACTTCAATGTGCTGCTGCCTTAAATAGAGGCACTCGGCGAAGAAAGGCGCAGATGTAAGGGGTTGGAATTCAAAAAGTCGACAACAGCAGGGTTCGAACCTGCGCATCCGAAGATAATAGATATGTGAATGATAAACAATTCAAGTCTATCGCCTTGGACCACTCGGCCATGTTGCCTCATTAGTGTATAGGAGTAGAATACCCAAATCGCCCCTCTTGAAGGCGGCTCTGAATCCCCGCCCTGAATCTCCCCCACTTGAGTCCCACCAAGCGGAATGGTGAACAATAGGCGGGAGCTTGAAGCTGTCAGCTGCGTACGGATACCTAGGTACCTTACGTGCTTACTAACGGAGTACTGAACAACTTTTGAACGGGGCTGACATGTGCAGCCAAGTAGTCCGGCCAGATGGAGATTACCGAAGAGACATGAACTGCTTCCGGTCTATTGGCATGCTAAATGCACGTCTCTGTCTACCCTGTGCCTTCCGCTGAGTAGGTACCGTTTATCGCCTAGAAGGCAAGGAATGTATCCGCTCTTCAAGCTCAAGGTACGGGGCACCTAACCTTAAGCTTAGATAGGTACCTAGGTAGGTAAGGTAGCTCATTCCCGGCACACCAACGATACAAGAAGCCGACAGAAAAGGCAGGCATGAACCTCGGTCTATGTCACTCTGTGTCCTGCCATTTCATCCCCTTCGCACTTGCTTGATCATGTCAACGGGGGCGGCCTTTTGTCTTGCTGATTCCAAGTTGCCTTTCTAAACCCTCAAGCGCCTATCTCACACTTCTTCTTCACTACTCTCAGCATGGTCGAGCAGAATAACCGCGATACCACCCCCGATCCCAAAGGCAAGGGCAAGGGCAAAGAAGCCTCCGCAGCCCCTCCCTCCGATGCCCAAACGGCTCCCGAGGACGAAAGAGCTCTACATCAGCAAAGTGACCGAGATGCACCCCCCAGTTCCTCATTTGCTTCACGCCTCACGGCATCTGCAGCCAACCTTTCTCGCACCGCTCTAACACCTTCGTCTGCGACCGAAAACATTCGCAATGGAGCTACGAGAGGGAAACTTTCACCTGGAACCACCTCCACCTCTGCTCAGGGCTCGGGAAGCTATAGTGATACTGCAATGTATCGTAGCTCAAACAGCGTGAACCCCGGCACCGCCATGGGCTTCAATTCGGCAACGGGTACATCCACCGTCGGTGGACAGCAGTACGACGACTTCATGGACGCTCAAGCTCAAGCGGTCTTCGATGAACCCTCTCGGCCTCAGATCTCAGCTGAGGCTCCGGAGAGCAACTCAGGGGCGGTCCTCGTCAGCGAATACAATCAGCACATGCCTTCGTCATCAGGCATCAAGTCCGACCTCCAACACCAAGAGGCCAGAGACGGCCAAGCTGTTGTTGAACTACTTAATTCTCTCGATCCGGACGATTTTGACGCAATCCACGATGACCTGCAAACATATATATCCCCACAAGAAGAATTATCGCTAAAAAGGGCCCTTTTCGACGATAATCATGGAAGACCTACCTCCAATTTGACCCGTCTTCTCGACTTCGAGCCTCAATTCCTCGGCGGAGGCGATCCCACTGAGTTATTGCAGTATTTTGGCGTGGCCGATGTGCAGCAAGCCAGAGCCATGTGGATGGAAAGTTGGAACGATGTGCTTACCAGCTACACGGACGAAGTTTGGGGTGACCTCGGGTCCCTCGCCCGAGAAGCGCACCAAGAAATTGAAGAGGCGCGCGAACATGGGACAGGAGCCACGACAGGCCCCGGCGGGATGCAGGCGCTTCAACGACTCAGACAGATTCTAGCCCATGTTCGAGCCCATTAATCGAAGCGACGAGGGTGTTGTACTCCGTACAAAAGCTCGCTCTGTGCGTCAAGACCGGGGGCTCGATGGTTTGAGGGCCGGGGTTGCTCTGCCAACTGTCTTTCGCCCAATGACATCATGCGATTGCAACGCTCTTTGGCGTCTTCCCTGCGAAGCCTAGATAGATGCCCAGCCACCTCACCTACCCTGGCGGTCCTTTTGGCCTGGGTAGTTCGAGGGAATTCGCATGCATGCAACCCACCTCACCAGAACGACGGCGGGGCCGGACAGCTCACCTTATGTTCTCGCAGTAGTTCGGGTGCAGCGACGAGGAACTGGGCAAAAGCCTTGGCTGTGGCTGGCAACCAGCAGATTGACAGCGGGCAGGCTTTGACACTCGTGTAATCATCCTGTTGGAGCAGCTTGAGAGCGACATACAAGTACCACCGTTTTAGCTCTCTAGCCCATCCTTCCCTCTTCCCACATCCACACCGAATTTGTGGCCAGCCTGTGAGACAACCGCTTGATGCCATCCGGAACAGATACCTGATTATTCATTTCTGGATCGAGGAGGCACCGGCTTCTCCAAGACAAAGTCAACAACAGGCATTCTTCCACCTACGTGCGGCTTGGGCTAGGGAATAGGGACGCTAGGCCAACCACTAACCGGGCCTGGCCCGCTATATCCGCGAAATCATGAGGTTATCACGATGGACAACACGACTGGCAGCACTGGCGACAACAGAGACGGCTTTCGCCTTGAGCCCAACTCCGACTTCAACCGGCACCAAGACCATGGTCCCCACCGCCGCTTACGTGCCCGGCGGTGCGCAATTACAACTATTCAGACGTCAGGATTGCCCGGCTGGCACTTCCAAATGTTCGGATTCGCTAGGGACGTCGTTTGATGGAATTTGTTGCGCCACGGGACAGGTGTGCGAACTAGACGACAACAACCGGCCAGCTTGCTGTCCATCTGGGTATGAATGAACCTAAAGCGTGATTTTTAGAATGAGAAACCGCTTGGCTAACGTGGAGTCGCACATTGCAGGGCTGTTTGTACCGGCTCAGCTCCGACGACGGCACCGACTGTCACGGCAGTTTCATATGTCCCTAATGCTTACTTTCCATTCCCATACATAGCGACATCACTCGACCGCGGCGAGTGCTCATCAGCCCTTAGCCAATGTTCCCGGAATTACCAGAGTTGCGTCACTCAATTGGACGGCAACGCGGGCTTTGGTGTTACTGTGATAGTTCCCGGCGGGGGTGGCACCACTGTCGCCGCAACCCAGCCGGACGTTGGAACATCGGCGACCCCCATTTGTTCCAGTCTTAGCTCCCAGGCATGCTACGGCTTGTCTAATGACCAGTGTGCTCAATCGACAACGGTGAACGGCGTCGTCATTAACGTCGCAGCACGTCCAACAGCGGCCTGTGTGGCTAAACTCGCTGCGGGCTTGGGAATCGCTGTCTTCGGTGCCATGCGATGAACGGCAAGTCAGACGACTATTGTTGCAAACAGTTGAATCAACGTCGGGAAATGGTCGTTTACGCAGGCAAAACGGACTTCTGGAATTTCGATTCACATCACGTTCTTTGTGGTTTTGGGTACTATATGCCTGACTGAGATGGACAGGGTGTACCCCCATTCGCCGCCAAAGGTCACCTGGTTATTGAATGGGGCGTCCCGACATCTTTATTAGTGCTCTTCTCTATCGTCCTGTACACTGAGTCCAACAGAGCGCCGGATGTTTTGTATTTTGGTGTGGGCCCAAGCCTCGAGGACGTCGCTGAGGACTTCAATCATGCGACTGAAGAAGAAGAGGCTAATAAAGGAAATTCCGGCAATCACAGCAAAACAGACCCAGTACATCTTGGGTGTGTAGTGTTCCACCAGATCGGGTATCTCTACGGAGAAATAGCTGGTCATGAAAGTTATGGGGAGGAAAAAGACGCTCAGCTTGGCTAATACGGTAGCGCTCCTGCTCAGGCGGGCAGTTGCTTGCGAGTCCCTTTGGGCCGTTAGGTTGAAATACTTTTCAGCAACATCGTAAGCAAAACAATCAATACAATCGGCTCAGGAATGCTTCCCGGAAACCTACCGTGTTTGAAAGCGCATTCTGCTCGTCCAGGTACTCCTGGATTGTGTTGAGCATCAACAGTTGAAGTCTGTCTCCAAGGCGCTCGAAGCGACTTCTTGCTGACAATGAGATGTTCACCTCATCGAAGATACTGCTAGGTAACTCTAGGTGTCCGTATTGACCCTCGTGATAGGCATCCAGCGACCGAGGCCGGCAGATACGCTTGATGAGGGCTTTGTAGCCCTCAAACAGATGTTGGAGCTGGCTGAGCTCCTTTCTTAACTTATGCAGTGATTCAATAATCTCTCCCGTCTTCACCTTGGTTCTTTTGTTCTTGCTCGTAAGTTAGCCTTCTGCTCCTGGTACGGCATCAGTGACCTACCGGCTTCAAAATTGAATCGCTCTACGGCATTCAATGGTATCAGCAGATATTCCATCCTTGGTTGAAAGCTCATGGTTGCTGAGAAGTCTGTCCTCGTTACTTACCAATCGACCCAGCTCATTCTTGGAAGTTTTTAAAACGGGCAGAGCCGACGAATAGTCCTCGAAGAGATAATAGAAGAGATTGCTCGAGCCCTCGCGGGCAGCGTTGCCGTCGAGTTCCGAGCGAGACATGGCTTGCCGGACCGGTTTCAGCGAGAGAAGCCTTCGTTCGAAATCTTCTACGCCGTGCTTGGAGAGTTGACACAATACGCTGGTTGTGTTGGATCTCATGTTGACAAGTTCTTTCTCGTCTTCGGATGATGGCGTCTCGTGGAAAGACACCACGACGGCTGTCGTCGGTTGATGAGCATGACAACAATAATTTCGCAAGAAAGAAAAATGTACAGTCGGAGCAGAGGGCAAGCCATGACCAGTGTCTGGGCGGCAGTAGACTTGGTTTCTGGTCGGTGATTTGGGACCGTGGACGGGTGTGCAGCCAGTTGGCACCGATACAAAGGACTAGTTCTGTAATCAGCCTGCCTTCTAGCAGTCCTATGGAGTTGTAGCTTGCCGAGAACTCACAGTGCTTCCCTTGATCAATGGAAGTGTAGTTGACCGTTTCCTTCACAAGTTGATAGATCTCAAGCTCCTCCAGCACTTGCGCCTGCGTCTGTCCCGGCGGTGGAGGTCCAAGGCCATCGGACGACGACCCTTTCTCAACATCTCCTCCTCCTTCTCCTCCTCCTCGTGGTAACGCCATCGGGGTCGTATTAGCCTCCTTGAGAGACGACAAGGCCAGAGCCGTCATTATGGCGAGCAGTCTTTTAGAGAACTTGTACTGGACGCCGATGCGCTCCACGGCTGGTTTTTGCATGCTCGGCGACCAAATATTAATCCAACGCACCATCCCCTCTTTGCGCTCTCTGGTAACAAGTTGACTAAAATCATCAGAGGTTAGATTGAAAGCGATCAAGGCTTCATGATGATTAAACTCAACGACAAAGTTGAGAGCCTTGTCGTTGGCAGCCTCGGCTTTGACGTGAGCGTACACGGCCTCATCGTCCAGATTCTGGAACTTGTCATCCAAGGTGGTAGTGGTAGCAGCGGCGGCGCCGGCGGTGGTTGGTATCGCCATGACTTCTAGCCCAACTAAATGTTTTTTGCAGAGTCGGATTAGTTAGACATAAGAGACTGTGAGAAACATATGCGATGATGAGGCTCGCAGTGATGGCTTTGAGCTGCCAGCATCGGCCACCAGAGTGCTGTACGGATACCTCAGCCCCCTTCGCAGTATGTCGTTGCTGACCCATGTAATAGAAAGAGTGGCAGGGGCAGAACGCTCACGATTGTCTCACTTGATTCGCTGCAAAGGATCCGCCTATGTTGGTTCACGGCGGCTATCTGCACATGCGTCGGCGCCTATTTGAGGTTGCAATAATATCTAGGCCTGGAATTATGCAACAGGGGTATCGGGGGCTGCGCAACGGTTGTTGAGGCGACTTATTGCGTTCATAAGGAGACATGGACTTGGAAGAGTGTATGTGTGAAATATTTCTGAAAATTTGTCAGCTGCCTCTGCCTGCAATTGTGTTCCTTAATGCGGGAGTAGGAGTTTAAAATAGCATCGCCAAGTTGGACGGTCGGTGCATTGGCATTCATTCTTCAAGCTGCAGCATCACATTAACGCCCTAGGGTTCTCTGCAAGGTCACTGATGAAATATCAAAGGAATAAAATTTGCGTGTATCTGCTCTTTTTGTTACTTCGGTCCGCTGATATATAATGAGGGGCATTACCGAAGGACTCCTAAAGTGCTAGTTGCTCGTATCAACCACAAAACGACATAGTGGTACATTTCTGCACATCTCTTCAACGTCACATTAACTCTCTCCATCTGCGCGCTATCTGAGGCAACGATCACCTGAAACCGCGCCAGATATCTCACTACTTTTCACAACGCCCGGGTTCTCGCGGATATTTCACTCAACGACGGCCGATGTCAGGAGGTTCCGCAACATGTCCATTGTAGACGCACTGCCTCGCCGTCTAGAATGAGAGTCTCCAGGCCCCTTTAGGCAGACTTGAAGAAAGTTTCGGGCGACATTCTCAGCCTCCTCAAGTCGAGCTTCGTCTTCGGCATCTAACCTAGCACACGCTGCCCCAAGGTCTTCATTTCGTGCTAGGAGCAGAACAATCGCCTCGGCTCGCTCAACGACCGCGGTATCAATGCCATTCAGCGCCGCACATCTGCTCCCAAAGCTTGATGTGCTCCTTCCGGAAACTAGGCGGTGAAGAAAAATAACTTGGTCTTCCATCTGACCCGCGTCGATGTCAAGACGGACCTCCATGTGCGCAAGCGATAGCCCTGGTCGCTCCTGAAGATAACCGCCTTCGAATATCTCATGGTAGTGCGTTGTGACCAGAACTTTGGGAGACTGTGAACCGAGGTTGCTGAAATGGTCAATGAGGGCAGTCATCAGCCCGGCTCCATCATCAGCTGCCGTTCCTTTGCCAAATTCGTCGATTGCCACGAGCGTACGACGAGTGGCACAATTCAGCAGAAATGCTACTTGCCTCAAATCGGTACCGAAGGCACTCTCCGCTTGCGATACACTTTCCCGCGTCGAAATTCGGGTTAATATTTGGTCCGTGAGACCAACCGTAGCGCCAGTAGCAGGCACGAAGCTGCCTATATGGGCAAGGTAGACAACGAGTGCAACTTGTTTGACATATACGCTCTTTCCCGAATGATTTGGCCCTGTTATAATGAGCGTGCTGGCGTTCATGTCGTTCTCTGGAGGCAATGCCCGTCTTCTGCTTGAGTCATCGCCTGAGCCACCGATGAGATCGCAGTCGTTGGAGATGAAAGCAGGTACTGCCAGCTCTTGAAGAGGGTGGCGTCCTTCGTAGATTGAGACAATGTTGTCTTCTGTCATAGTTGGACATGCCCAGCCATATTTGAGTGCTCCGCTTGCAAGGGCCACAAGGCAGTCGAGCTCACCACAAACCTCAGATACACGACTGAGGATAGCCTCGTGTTCGAGGATATTGCAGGCTAAGCCATGTAAGATATCAACCTCGAGGTCTAGAGAAAGTTCAGTAAGGCGGGTATATTGCCAGTGATACTAGGCCACAAACCAACAATCCTGCTGTAAGTGTCACCGAAGTGACCATCCAACTCCAGCATGAGGTTGTTTTTGAAGTAGACATTGTCATTCGCGGTGAATCTTTGCTCCCAATGATCGTTAGACAGTCCTTGGCCTTCGTAGCCTGCCTTGTTGCCCTCGAGCAAAGGGACGACAGTGAGGAAGCCCAGTTGCGGCCAAAAGACACAGCCGGTGACAAATTTGCGAGCCCACGTCGGGAGCTCCAGGGACAACGCTGTGCTAACCTCATTCAACAGGGATTCCAACCCTTGGTATGTCTGCTTCAAGTCATCGAGCTCAGCGTTGACGTGCAATCTCACAGCAATGCGTGAGTTTGCTTTGGTTTCTTCGAAATCGACAACATTTCCTATCAGATCAATAATTGCCGTTAGTGCGTCTACAGCGAAGGCCTGCACCGTCTGTTAGATAGAATTAGCTTGAGCTTCGGCAGATGAGTTGTTACCATGGCTGACCTTTCGTATGATGACAAGGCCGTTGGCATTTCGCAGTTGAAGTATGGCGTCTCTGAGCCGCAGCACATGGAGTGAAAAACGAGTCAATGTCCACCAGACACCACGCTCAATTGAAGCACAGCCAGCCGGAGATTCCGCTGCGCCTCTTTGCAACCGAGCCAGAGTTTTCTTGATGTCGGTGACCTTTCGCAATCTCTGGGATATGCTCGTAAATGCCTCTTGATTTCCCGGCTGCAAGAATACTGCTATGGTTTCTTGCCTCTCCCGGATCATGTCGATGTTGACCAGCGGCCGCAAGAAGAGTTGTCTAAGCCTCGCCTTGCCCTGAGGGGTACCAGCGAGCGGATGGAAGAGTCCGAACAGAGATAGGCTCTCTTTTGAACCGGAGGCTGTCTTTCCCGTGCCTGATATCAGGTTGCTCGGGTGTAATTCTGACTGGAATACCTGAAGGGAGGAGAGCGTGTCAGCGTTGACGAACATGAAGTCCGCCAAAGCAAATTTCTGCAGTGACAACCCGATATTTCTCTCTGTATCTTCTGGCGCTCGTCCGACATTCTGGATTCGCATAGTCTCGCATAGCACGGCACCGGCACAGCCAATCTAGCGCGTGTTAGAAACACATACACCATTAATGGCATTCTTCATCATAGCTTACTGATATAACGCTCTCTAGGTCTACAAAAGACCCGAGACGTATCGTCTTGAATTCTTGACTTTCCTCCCGTGCATCTTGTAAGCCATGATTGGAGAAACCGAAGCCGGCATTCGTCACCAGGGCATGTTCTGATGTGGCGATCGGTAGATTCGCTAACCTATCCATGGCAGCAGCGTGGCTGAATTCAGTTGAGCCGAGATGCCGTAGAATGTAGTTGTCCCTTTCAGATCCTTTGAGAAAAATTCATCAACGCTCAAAAACATTGCCCCTATTCCAAGAGGTGACTTACCTCGGTCCACAATACTTTGATGCTCCTCGAAGAACTGAAGCACTACGTCTGGTACTTTCAGTGGCAACAAAACGGTCGTTGGTTGAATGTGTAGCATGAGCATTTCGACAAACTGCAACGGTTCGGTACAGGACATATCTTGCAGAAGAAACAGACTGTTCTCCTCTGTGCTGTAATAGGCACATCCAAGGACACCTTTCACTTGAACGGAAATGGCCATAATAACCTCGTTTCCCCGCTCGGCTTGACCTGGTGCTACTCTACCAAGGAGTGACAGACCCGCGTACTCGCTGGCTGACGGTGGGAAAGGGGTGGGACCATTGCCGGATCCGACTTCAGGGGCAATCGAGGGCAAGAAGCGATTGTTGACCGCTAGCGTCAGTCGACTTCCGGGATCCACGGGGTGGTTTTGGGATTCTGCATCTTCAATGTATCGTACAGCAGATGGCGAATATTCCTCGAGCGATGGCACACGGGTACCGCGAGGGCTGGAGAAGATAGGCGAGGTGTGATGCGGACCAACCACACTGGAAGTACCTCGAGATCCTCGAGATGCACGGGCAGGAGATCCTCTCGAACGACGAGGTGTATATGAGCTCCCCCTTGAGCTGACGTCCGAGTCAGCTCTTGAGTCACCTCGTGGGCCTCCCCGCGAACCACTTCTTGAGCCGCCTCTTGAGCTCCCACGGGCGAATCCTCTGCTAGATCGACCACGCCAGGGACTGGACTTGACGCTGCCTCGTCCCGGCATCGTTGGGTAGAGGAGTAAATGGGCGACAACAATAAGACTCCTTAAATTTAGCACGGCGAGGGAGAAAAGGGAGCAATTTGTGTCTTCGAAGGGAAGAACTGATTGACAAGCTAAGCGTGATGTATTGTATGGGGAAATCGAAGAACGAGACGAAGAGAAGTCCCGGAAATTCAAATTGAGGTAGTTTCGAACATACGCAAGTCTAGATATGCATGGCACGAGTTTGCTCGCGGCAGGTTCGGATCATACGTAGCTCCCAATTCCAGGAATCCGGGCTCACCTTGAATCGTGCTTGCCTCGGAGACGCCTGGTAAAGTACCTACCTGCCTCAATCATCTTGTGTCCAAGGCGCACTTGACGCACATTAGTTGGCTCGGCCGAGCTTTTCGATTGTCCCGTAGAAAGCATGACTGAACCGCGGAAGGAGCACCTGCCTTTGCTGACACCTTCAATAAATTTCCCGTATGCGCAAAGCTTCACGCATGGAATACCTCAGGACACTCAAAGGTAGGCCATGAACCTTGCTAAGACCAGGTTGTCGTCTACTGTAGTCTTAAAGGGCACTTCTCTGGTGTGTTGGGGAGCCAGAGATGCGGAAGCCTTCCTTACTCTCGGTTCCTTCTTGGTTTATTTCTCTTTTGATTTTCATTCAGGGTCGACAGACTCACGAGATCTAGACACCTGGCCTACTTCATGAGGAAGGGTATTAACCCATCGTGAACCTAGGTAGGGAGCTGCCTGCGCAGGCCCTCGTGATGGGGACATTGACCTGGAAATGCATAGCCACGACGGAAACGCGTTGCAGGCATGCTGTTGGATTGACTATATTCATTGGTATCGTTCGCTATCCCACAACTCAACCAGACTTGGCCGCAATTGCAGTCTTGTCCCCAGCCTTGACCCAGTTTGTAAAGTCTCGCTTCTGTTTCCGAATGTCGGCAAAGCCGGGCCGGCTCTCGAGGATGCGGAACGGGTTGCCGACGTAGTCCTTCTCCACCTCCCCGCTGCCCGTCAGGAATCCCATCTCGCCCTCTCTCTCAATCTTGCCCGCCCATACGCGCCACTCGATCGGCCGGAGGTTGGGTGCGCCTAGAACCATGCCGAGGACGACGACGAGAGTCGCCACGGCCGCTTCGATCGTTATGTCCGCCGGTAGCGAAGTGGTAGCTGCTGAGGCGGATGTTGCCAGGGGCGAGGCTGCTCGGAAAGATTGCAGCGCGGAGTGCTCTTGGGCAGAGTAGCAGCTGTTGAGCAAAACATGTGTTAAATGATTCTGTGGCTAGTTTGAGAGAGCGGAAGCGGGAGAGGAGAAACTGACGCATGGCCGAGGAGGAGGAGGCCAATGGCTGTGATCGAGCGCGAGATCCAGGTCATGATGTGGAAGGATATTCGACGCGAGCCCGTTGATAGAATGATGCAAACACTTGTCAGCTGCCGCAGGGTTAACAACTTGGTCTCATAAAAGGATGTGGAAGAGAATGGCTCTCTTCGAGACAGTCCCGGGCTTACCTTATCAAGCTCAATAGCTCAGTAGATGGGATGGGCAAAGGGCGGCGTGCGGGATGAGGCAGCTAAGATGGATTCGACGTTGAACTCAATGGCGCCGGGAGCTCTGGCTGTCTGTGTACGTTACTGTGACCTCGTTAAAGTGATTGGATGTTACTGTGTGGGTAAGATATTGCAAATACGAGGCTCTCGATAACGTGGTAAGACATCGCAATGGCGGTATATGGTTTAGTTGCATATGCCCTGAATCAACCCCCCAGGCTTGTCACTCGTGCATCCATACCTTCCCTCAGGAAACATATCAACGCCAGGATAGGATTGTCATGGCATGAAATCTGCTACTCACCAAAGAGCTCGAATCTCTCTTCGCTCGCAAGCTGCCAGCTATCCTCAGGATCGGGCCCGAGAAACCGGGAATCGGAACCACAGGGTTTCACCATGAAGCACGATCGTCACCTCTCCTGGTCAACACCGGTTCGGCTCTGGAGAACGCCGAATTATCGGGAAAGCACTTAAAGCCGGGAACATTGAGTAGGTACTTGTATTTGGAGAGCCTTCAGCTTCGGTGTGGACGCCCTCAATGGGACAAGTTCCGGGCCTCTCTCTCCTCGCCGTATCTCTTATTCTCTCTGCATGTTCGTTTCCCTAAGGATAACACATTTATCTCCAGTCTCAACAAAACCAAACAGAAATGAGATTTCCGCCTACGTTCTAAGATACCCAATACTCCTGACGCCCTTCCTTGTCTCGGACAATGTACAAACAACAGAAGCGGTTAGCGAGCCGCCCTCTTCAAGTCTCCTTCCGCTCACTCTGGTTCTATCCAGCTGTTGGTGAAGTGACTGCTGTCAAGTTCCTCCACTCTCCAGCTACTTTCTGGTCCTCTTAGGATCTGAAGTTGGGGGTCTTGCAGAAGACTTTCTTCGTATCCCATACCGTCAATTAGTTCTTGTCTTCCGTCGCCGAAGTTAAGCGGGTTCGTCCATCGCGGTACAGGTAGCATGTGATTGCCGTACACGTCACCATACGGATGACCTCCATGGCCCATTAGACCCGGATCAATTATCGGATCGATGCCATCAGGATGCGACATTGGACCGTACTGATCCATACCGTCGTAGCGGTGGTCAATTGATGGTGCTGCGTAGCCCATCGCTGGTGACGGTGTCTTCCTGATAAGCACGTCTTCAACGAAGCCGGTGGCGTCCTGACGCTGATGGACGCTCTGCTGGTAATACTGGCCACCGCCAAGCGCATTCTGACTGTATGGTGCCGGGAGAGGTTTTCCCGGGTTGCTGTAATGGTACATGGACTGTGTCTGCACGCCGAGACCCATTGGACTCGTCTGCAGTGGGGGGTAGTTGTGGAAGATGGACGGCGGTGCTTCATTCCTGCCGTGTCCTTGTTTCCTTACTTGTCTGCTCCTGGAGCTCGCGCGGCTACCTCTCCATTCCATGTCGTCCATGTCGCCTTGATCCGACTCCTCTTCTTCTCTCGCCTTGGGTCTCGGTTTCGACGGTGTAAACTTGTAGCCCGGATGAGCAAGCTGATGGTTCGCACGTTCTTCTTTCGCCCATTCATTAAACTGGTCCCGGATGTGATCCGGCTCCAAAGGCCAGCCGGCACCGCAGACCTGAGATACAAGCTGATGGTTATTTTGTGTACAGAGGCTTTTGGCGAGATTCTGATACGCCTTTCGGTACAACATGAAGGCGTTCATCGGTCGCTTGATCCGGCCTGGCGTCTTGCTCTCTTCGACCTCCTTCATCCGCACTTCTGAAGAACGTTGGACATAGGCACCAATATCCGCTACTGGAATATGCGGTTGCTCCTTCGCCAATTCGCTCAGTGGATTCTTGACGACATCGACCTTTTTGGCCGACTTTGCCCGCTCCTTCTTCTTCTTGGGCGTTGACTTTTCGACTCGTGAAGCTCTCGCTGCGAGCGGCTTGATGGTTGTCGACCCCTTGTGGATGTTGAGACCGCTGCGGGTGGTCAACACCTCTTGTGGCCTTGACGGCGTGGGTGGCGATGTGTCAGGGGTGCTGTATGGCTGCACGAAAGCATGTGAGTGTCTGTTTTTTTTTGTCGAGAGCAGTAAAGTTGCTTACCTGGTGGCTCAGCTCCCCGGACATTGGGGCATATATGGAGCTGACGCTTGTATCATATCCGTGGTTATATGACTGTCGAGACTTGTTAGCAAATTCTATAGTGGCGCATGTGAAGCTGAGCTCGGGACGGGCTTGCTTACCATCTGACCATCATGTGGGCGATGGGAGTATGGAGAGTGGTGATCGTATTGCATATCTTGTTGTGGACCAGGTGTACCGTATCGAGAGGGGGTTTGCATGCCACCCATATCACCCGGGTGCAAGTGCTCTCGAGGGTAGGATGTGGCTCCTTCCGGGCGTATCAAGTGATGCAGTCCGTTTGGGTAGATATCATCGTTTGAGGGAGCAGGGGACGGGGGACCGTTTTGTTCCATTCCTCAAGGCTGGAAGCAGTGAGGAGGGCTGTTGGGATCGTCTGTTGTCGGTTTCTGACCAGTGTTGGCTTACTGGGTAACCAGAAGAGGGCGAAGACGGCGGTTTGGGCCGAAAGACGAAGAAGCAGGCCAAATGGATTCTGTCAATGTTGTTGTCTGAATCCTAAGTGTTGCAGATCCGCGGGGGTTTTCTGCTTCTTTTCCCAAATCTAGTAGTTTTGTTTTTGTTTTCACTGGCGGCTGTCTCGGCACTTGTGTATGGGTAATAGACACAAGGCGAGGCCTGGGTCAGGTGACGGATGTGTATGGCAGCAGACGCAGGCTTCCAGTTGAGTAAAGGCGAGAGGGAAGAAGACAAGTAACGGCAACAGTGGAGCAGATTGCTTGAAAGAGGCAGCTGCACCCACAGATTATCTACGTTCAGTAGATGTCGAGGAGCCGATGGTAGTGTTGGTCAGGGGGTGGTGTGTGCATGAGAAAGAGGAAGAGGGCGAGCAAGGTAGGATGGGTCGGACGGGGGGAGTAAGTAATAGTCCCCGGTGACAAGAGAATGGAAGTAGGGCTACAGAGAGATTCAAAGATACGGCTCGTTCCTGAGGGGGTCGGTCTTGTGCTGGTGGCTGTTCAGGAAGTACCTGGAGTCTCTGTCTGTGTATTTGTCTCTGATCCGTATGCCTATTGCAGACGCAGCTGCAGCTGCAAGTATGCAGTGAGGTGCGATGCGGTGTTGCAGGGACCAGGGATGGCCAAGATGGAGGGTGGGTGAACGAGGTTGCAAGCAGCCGAGAAGCAGGGATCAGTGGTGATCTGGAACCGTTCCCCTGGGATATGGGATGCAACCACAATGTCCAACTGACGAAGGCCTGGTGGGCTGGTCAGGGCTGGTCAGGGTCAGGCTTATGAGGGTTGGCAGTATGACGAGAGGCCAAGCGTAGGAAGCTCCATGAATAGCCTGTCTTCTTTCTCTTTGATGATAAGCGGGAGAGAGAGAGGCGGTAGAGTGCCGATGGTCTCGGGTGGTATCGTCGGGCTTTCTCTTATCTGCTTTGAGAGTTCTCGTCGTTGTTCAGGCGGTTGTTCGTCTCGTTGTTCCTCGGGGCTTCTCTTGTCTTTCTCTTTTGGTCTTTGGCGCACATTGGCTATTCTTCTGATCTCCACTCCTCTGGTCCCAAGATAGTAATGTTGGGTGAAGATGGTGATGAGTTGCCGCCCCGCGTCTCCTTGCCAGTACAGTTTCTTTCTCCTTCTTTCTTGATCCTTCTGTGGGTGATGGCCCTGGTCATGCACAAGCTGGACGGGAGTACGGCGGTGCTGCAGAGGGGTAGGTGGATAGTCGAAATGGGAATAGAAGGCAAGGATGAGCTGAGTTGAGCTGAGCTGAGATGGTGTATGTGTGTATGTGAGTGTATGTGTGTAAGAGAGAGTGCGTGCCAGATGGATATCTGAGGGTCTCAATCCAAATCTGATTCTGAATCTGAATCTCAAGCGAATAAGAGATCCTGGTCGTGTTCAAAGAAACCCGGAGGCATATGAAAAAAGCCAAGGGAAGTCGGTCTTTGTCAGAGGGGAGAACCGATGAGAGGATTCATTCATTCAACCCTTTGCAAGAGGGGAGGGGCGAGATGGGGAGTGAAAGAAAAGCGTTCGGCCGGGCTGGGTGGTTTTATGTCTACATGTTACGCATGTGCATCTACGCAAGTTGGGCCTCTGCTTCTTTTGCTCTAGCCTCCCTTCTATGCCGTCGCTGGCTTCTCTGTGTCCGAAAGAGCATCTAGCTGATTGCCGCATTCGGACATGGTAAGGCTGGTACGGCCGCCCGGCGCCGCTTTCAACCCCAAGCCCTCACCACCAAATGGCAACCCATGCGTTGGTGCTGCTGTTCTGTTTGGCCGTCTTCGGTTAAAGCGAGTGAGATGGACCCCCGCCCCTGCTGATGCCGGGGGACGCTGGTGTCCGGTATCCTGGTGTTTGGTTGAGTATCCATATCGCGAGCTCGGTCATATCGTCTACTGCCATCATAATTACTCGTGTTGGGTTGTCCCAAGTGGCTAACGCGGCACGGCACCAGTGCCATGCCATGTTCCTGCCATGTTTCTGCAATGTCTGGGTATTGGACATGTATGCGAAACTGGTCGACGTTGACGGGGGCGGTAAAGGACGGAAAGACACCAACATAGCGGCAGAGACGATGTGAGAAGCGCGGCGCGGCACAACATTGCTCACCAACAAGCAGCAGGGGATATAAAGACAGGGCGGGCATCTCTGAGGTAGAGAGACTCCTCCCTCCATATGAATTCTGAAGATGCTTTCCTGCCACAATTGCCTGGGCGGTGCTGCATCTGGTGCATTTGCTTCGTCTGATGTTGGTACCACCGCGGACGTTCAAAAGAAGACGAGACGCACCGCTTCTTCTTGAACTGACAGCATGGCTCCCATCTGAACAAGGATTCATGTCTCGCTCTCTCTCCCCTAAGTCTCCGTCATCTCATCACATCTTCCCCCACCGGTTCACGCTGATAGCCGGTCAATTCAAGACCATCATCCATCTCCTAGCAAAATCAAATGCGAGGGAACTCACTCAAGCTCCACCCTGACTGATGGCCTGGTCACTTCTCCTCTTAACCTTGCCTGTATCCTTGTCTCTCCCCCTTCCTTCTATTTTGTCGTGCCTATTCATACATCATTGAGGTTCCGACAATGTTGACTTGACAGTGCTTCCTCTTCAACACC